GTAATCATATAGTAACGAAGAGCGGTCGATGATTTCCATACCTAATCTAAGTCGAACCCCGCTTGAAAAGTACCTGGCCTAGAGTACTTCCAATTCGAATTTTGAGGCGCTGTTTGTTTTACTGTACTCATTAGGCTAGATACCATGATTTCGGTGAATGTCAAATTTCCTTGTGGTTTCTTTGATTAGATTGAAATGCATCAATATTGCTTTCCAAAACTCTTTCCTTGAAACACCTAAGGAAACATGATTCACAGAAAACCTTGGTATACCTTTTGAAAGCTCTTTAAGATTTCTCATATATGTGCTTTGATTTTCGTAGAAACAGGTTTGTTTTAAATACTATGCCTTGAAAGACAAGAGATCCAGTATCAGAATTTTTTCGTCAAGATATCCAGCGCCAAAATTTTTATTTTATCTTCGAAACCTTTACAAGCGCGCCAATTTTCGAAAACGAAACAAGGAAGGTCAGAGAGTTATGCTACAAATACATGTTGAAATAAGAGTTCCAAAAGCTTTCAAACTAAAACAATTTCAAAGTAAACTGATACCGCGATTGTCTGCTGTAATTAAGCACATGAAAAACTTTTTTTCGCAAGCTGCAGAAAAACTTTTGCTATAGAAAGAAAGCGTAGATTTAGGAATACCTGTAGTAAAAGTAGTTGAGTTAATAAATTGTTTATGTTTTACGGCGTTAAAAAAGTAGAACAAATCCGAAGCACTCTTTCGCCTCTTCAAGGAAGCTGAAAAAATTGTTTACTTCCGAATTTTTTAGGGTATCTTAAGGCAAAAAATATTCTCCTTTGTTGATTCAGCGCTTTCTAGATTTAGCGAACACATACAGCAAAAACTGAGTTAGCATTTGCAGTTGAAGTACCTGAGACCAGTTCCAAACACGCTGTATATACAGGGTGTCATGTATGCATACACCGTTTAATCGTTGTTATCTCTTTTCTCTAGAAGTTTCCTGCATACCTTCAGGTACCATTTTTTAGAGCTGGCTTCAACTTAAATTTATAGCAAGGAGCGAATTACCGATCTTTCCTCTAACTGTAGAATTACGGTAGGGACTTTGCGTTTGCTTAGCTTTGAGTACCCTTCAGTAGAGAAGGCTCCAACTTCGATTTACAGTATAGAGCGAATCGTCCGTCGCTCTTCATTACTGTAGGATTACGGTTGGAATCTCAAGCATATAGCGCCATTGTGATAAAGGCCGTTCAGAGAATAAAGTTCAAAAAAGTTTGGAAAGTCGTGTATCAGTGTCTTCAAACATGCTGATTTCATTAGATGACCCTCTACGAGTTTCTGATCTTCGAATGATTTAATCACATTTTTGTAAAACACTGAAAGAATGTTATGCGCTTCCCCTAACATAAGATATGAAAAAAGTCTTACGATAAGGTGCGAACTTCATAATCATAGCCAGTGATTTGATGAAGTGACCGCGAAGGCGGCGGTAGACTGCCGTTTAACGCATGAACGAGGCAAAAGAAACAATTTTCAGCGAGCTTGTATACAACACAACTCTCTTCTATTCCTGAGTTATTTCTCGAATAGCATAACATAACAGTATCAACATAGCATATGCAGAGTTCCATAAAATGACTACCAGACCGCTGACTAAGCCTTGTTTCAAGATTAAGCGCAACAAAGCGACGAAAGATGCTTTCCAACGTCTTCTGTAGCGTTACAAAAACTCCGCACGAAGAAGATGAGCTTATGGTGTTTATGATGAGAGCGGAAAGGAATTCTCGTACAAGTTTTACAGAACCTTGGAGAAATACACAAGAGAAAAAAAGCAGATAATATACAGCACAATTACTTTGATATTTTGAATATGAGTCTGGGAAGATAGGTTGCAAAAGTTATGGAGGAGTCAATGACGTGATCGCTCACCCAAATGTGAGACTTCTTCGTAAATTTTGCTCTGCTCATTCTCCGCGCGTGAGTCTTCTTCGACCAAGTTGTTGCTGATATGTAGGTGGCCGTGAACGGTAATATCAGTCTTACCTCCAGGACAGCTGATGATGCAATTCATTATTACTGAAGTGTTGAAATGAAATCATTTGTTTGGAAACCGTCGTGCATCTTGCCACGTGATTTCCTGGGCACAGGATATTGGGTAATGTGTTTCCTTCCTCACTTTTGCATGAAAAAGGAAGTTCAGCTCCAGCCATGACAACTGATTTAAACTATGCAGATTAGTGAATCATAGCTATGTCGTGCAATCTTCGAAAAATATGACTAATATTTTTCCTATGAGGTAAAAGAAAACTCGCACAAGAAGCACTTGTACAAAGAAGTAGAGTTTTCTTATTGCTTCCCTTTTCTCACATATTATAGTAAACATTCCCGCATATGGTAGGCTCACAGTCAAGTGAGACTACCGAGAAAATACCTGAATAATAAATGGAATAAAGTAAGTGCAAGTTTTGTTGTACAAAAACCATTCATAGATGACATTATTCGAACATATGGCTTCCGAAGTGTGTCAAGCACGCCGGCGCTTTTCGGTTAGCGCGATCCGTGTGTGTCGAGAGATGAGGGTACACAGATTAGAGGGACGAATTGTTGACGTAATGGGTTAGCGAACTCACCGGAGCATTTGTGAATACCGATCTACCCGATGGGTTCTTTAGTCCATGGGCCCCACTGGGTTCGCGAACCTAATGGGTTCCGGAACCCACTGGGCTCGTTGTTGAATACGGTCACTGGAGAACCAACTTGAAGCGGCTTTGAAAGAACAAAGTCATAAATCTCCCTCATTTCACCTGATTTTTTCACACTTCTTACATAGCTCTAATCTGCATTCAAAACCCTACAACCTACTCTCCCAAATTCCCCCACTCCCCGCCTAAGTACTGCCCTCCATATTTTTGAACGACGGCGGCAACCATGCTCCAGCGCGGTTATGCGCGCCGGACAGAGCATACCGCCGGAGGATACGAACAACATTAGCTTTCTACTGTCTTTTCATTGTCGTTGTTTTTGTGTTTTGTCTATTCCTCCATGTTCTTTAAGTTTAATTCATTCATAAGGCCTCATAGAGGATGTCGTATTTTTGTCTCAAAGTCAACGGCTCAGACAACGGATAGGACCCCTCCGCCGGAGAAATGGCAGGGCCGCCGCGTTTCCCCAGCGGTGGGTCTGCCACTCGTCCGCCGGAGCCCTCCCATTTCTGCTCCGGAGACCTCCCATTTTCTGCTCCGGAGACCTCCCATCTTCTGCTCCGGATACCTCCCATTTGTGCTCCGGAGGCCTCCCATTTGTGCTCCGGAGGCCTCCTATTTTGTGCTCCGGAGGCCTCCCATTTGTGCTCCGGAAGCCTCCCATTTTGTGCTCCGGAGGCCTCCCATTTGTGCTCCGGAGACCTCCCATTATGCTCCGGAGGCCTCCCATTTTCTGCTCCGGAGACCTCCCATTTTCTGCTCCGGAGACCTCCCATTTTCTGCTCCGGAGACCTCCCATTTTCTGCTCCGGATACTTCCCATTTTCTGCTCCGGAGACCTCCCATTTTCTGCTCCGGATACTTCCCATTTTCTGCTCCGGAAACCTCCCATTTTCTGCTCCGGATACCTCCCACTTTCTGCTCCGGACCCCTCCGATTTTCTCCGGCGCGGCTCTGCCAAATCTGGCGTACCTCCGGAGCAGAAATGGCGTACCTTTGCAGCAGGGCCGGAGAAGCGTCCCACTTGCCTGCCAGTGATGTCACCGCGACCTACAAGAAGGGACCGCCCATTTGCCCCGCTCTCATTGGTCAAAACTGGGTCCGGCGCGACTCCGGCCGATTCCGACTGTCCGGCGAAGGGGTCCGGTCGATTGTCTGAGGGGGACTTCTATCAAAAAATTGCCACAGCCACCTCATGCCATAGCTACCTCAGTTCTGCTCCCATGTGGGAAGGGTGGCCAGAGGTCACTTCCCTCTGCTGAATTTCCTCACTTTCAGCACTACATCTGAATTAGTTTTTGATGACAAAATGATGCAGAAGAGAAGAATTCATGGATTTTTCTCATCAAACTTTCAAGGAATCGTGCTCCAGAAAACGAACTGAAGTTGGGTTCGAAAAGGGCGTCTAGTACCCACACACCAGTGGCGTACTCAGGATTTCGGCTCGGGGGGGGGGGGCCGCGACAAAAATTTTTTTCTAAAGAAGGTGCGTGGCGTTAGCCACGCACTCCGAAAAAATTTTTGGGGTGCTTCTCAAAACTTTTGCGGGTCCCCGACCCCTAACATCTGGAAAAAGGGGGCGTGGCGTCAGCCACGCCCCCGAAAAATTTTTTTACAAGGCTAATTAGAATTTTTAAAAATTTTTAAAAATCATTTTAATTATTTACAAAAATAAACAAGTCACTTGCACATTTTTATAACCCATATAAGTGATTTTCAAAAATTTCGCGACCCATTCTCGGGGGGGGGGGCGCGCCCCCCCCCCCCCCCGCCCCCCCCCCCCTTCGGTACGCCACTGCCACACACTATTAGCCAAACTGAGTTTTTCTTTTCTTGTGCGACCATAGATATATGCAGAAGTGTTGCTTTAATTCGTTTTTTGAAGCACGACTTCTGAAAAATTTGATGAAAAAATCTTTCCTACTTCGCACCACTTTTTATCAAAAAACTAATTCTTAGACCAAAAGTGCCAAACATCCCTGCAAACCCACAGATCCGTCCTTAATATCCTACAAAACGAGCGAGATTATTGTTAGTCAACCTCATATTTCCAAAGGTCTCTTCAGAAACATGCATTCAAAAAGCATGTTTTCTATCATTCTCTAGAGCTCTGTAAAGTAATAGTTTGATGTCTAACAGTACATATATTCGTGTTCTACACTTTCATTGTATATTATGTGAACCAAATAGTTGAATAACAATGCAGAGTAACCCAATATATGTTATATGTTATAGTGCGAAAATGGTAACCACAACAAAAGACAGACAGACATGGAATGTCGAACAATCTTTCTATGTTTCATTCAACATCTCACTAACAATAAGATCCTGCCTACTTCTTATCTACCGGATTCACCTGTCTGATAGTGATATTAGCGCGACTACTGTTCGCGAAATCTGACACAACTGGATCCTTAAATTCAAAATTATGTGTTTTCTGAATGGATGCGACCGCATGATAGACCAGGCGCTGAGCACCGTGCATAACAAGAACATCTCCAGATTGCAGCCACAGCGGAATAACTTCATCGTCAAGGGACTCCCCGCCCGTTAAATAGATGGCTGACTGACCAAGCGAAAGAGAAACCAAAGGGGCCATCGTTCGTTCCGACCTGAATGTAGGAGCATCAAAAAAAAAGCTTATTATAGCATGAAGCCTTGTAACCCATTTATGAGTTCAATCTATGAAAAAATCGAAAGGCATCTTACCTATCGATATGTGGTGAGAGAGTTGATTTTGGAGGATAGTAATTTACGATAGTGGCGTCAGCAAACATAGGACCAAGTTTCAGAATTCTTGTTATCACCTGAAACAGAGCAAAAATTCGCAATAATTTGGACCAAGTTCATATTGTTCACATCAGCAAATTGTACTAGCTCAGTCGGAAGCGGATCACCACTGAGAGGGTACTGTTTCGTGTCCCAATTGTAATCGACTCCTAATGTTGTCCAACGCAGAGATTTACCAGCGTTTTTGAGTACATTCCTAAAAAATAAATTCACAAAATGGCAAAAACAAAGCACAAGTACACAGTCAGCACTTTTCTGGACTACTTCCATGCGCCGTCAAATTTGTCACATGTGGTGGCTCGGCATAATTAACAGCACGTTGTAACCACATCTCACTGGCATCCTCCCTGGAAAAGTATTGCTACTGTAGGACAAGCATATCAATGATGAATGTAGCTCACTTCAGAGCGCTAGGAAAAATGTAGAGACCCTCCCTACCAGGAAGCGTTGCAAGCTTCCATTCCGATAGTGGTTTTAGTCCGAGCATTTGCAGTTCCTCGTCGCTCACGTCATTAACTCGAAGTTGTTGGAAGTGAAGAATATTGGAAGAAGATGTAGCATGAGGATCTAAAAATGATTCAGCAAGTGTGAATGGGGTTACAGTAGCGCCAACGACAAGCGATCCACTGTTAAAAAATCCCGCGATCTTGTTGGCCGATGTACACAATTTATTCAAGCTGAACGTAAACATTCTTGAGATAATGATTTTTTTGAGTGATGCATCGCGAATAGATTTCGACATTAAGTAAAACCCATTTTACATCGAAATTTGTAGGATGCTTCATAATGCGCAACCCCTTTTTTTACAAGACTAACATAACACTGAGATAACTGCAAACATTTGAAGGTTGAAGCATTGCTCCGACTAGCAATGCCAGTTGCCAAGGTGAACTGAAGAAAGAGAAGCTATCAAAAAGTTATCAAAAAAAACGGTGATTTAAAAGTTCGCTGATTCCCATGCTCACACTAACCACTAAGCCCTAGCGCTGTCGTTATCATTTTCAAGAATGCAAGGCATAAAAATCAAACACCTCGGTAACTGCAAGCACAGTTGTCATGCAAGAGTATAAAGTGATATATAGTGCAAATTGTGCAGAGTAGAATTATGTAACCTCTAAGACATAATCTCATATATAGAAATGAAGTGGCGCAATGAATTTTGCATGTGGGTAAACTGGGGCGCCCTAACGACGCTATCTCAACATCAAGATTTTTGAGACTCATTGATGCCAACTTCCATTTTTTTTCACGAAAATGTCCTCGAATAAGGTGCGTTGCTAATTTTTGTTCGCAAATCAAGAATACTGATTAAAGACGTAAAGTCGATTGCATGAAATCGCCCGGGTTGCTGTAGGCTGAAAGCACGCGAGCGTGCCTGCAACACGGCTGACGAGTACGGCGCTATGATGACTCGTACGCGCGAATGCCAATGTTAGACCGCAAGAACGCTCGCGGGCGTTCAGCCCGGGCAATTCCGTGCCGCAGTCGACTGTAACATGCCTGCCAAACTTTTCTTTTTGCTCATTTCTATTTACGTACGAGTGAAACGTGTCTATTTAACGAAATCTAGAAAGAAATGTTCAGTTTCGACTCAAACAGCTCTAGAATTTCCTTTGCGATTTTGCTTGCACAGATCGCCACCAAAATAGATGTGACCGAAATTAGACATTTGCCAGCCCCTGCAAGAACTTCAGCTTTGTAAGATTCGTAAGATAAGATACAAATTTTTTCGAAAAATGTCATTTCGGATCCACAAGCGAGTCAACGGACATGATTAGATGGACCGGGGTACATTCAATGGACCGCCCTTGACACTTGCAGTTGAACAGTCACATAGTTCGAACAGACCCATCCAAGGAATAATGAACTTACCAACAACTTGACTCAAATCTGGAGCAGGATTTCGTCTTTTGTACTTCTTAAACATTCTCTTGAAAACAGTAGTATGGATGCTGGAGTCGCTCCCGTAATGATCACCCTGAAAATGAGTTTTTATTACTATCGATGATGTACAAAAAACTACTTGGGAGCTCTCCGAGCTTGCTCTGTGCTTTTGCGTGACGTTCATCATTGAGCGCTTTGTATTTGCGAAGCAACTCAATTTTTCCTCGATTAAGTTCTTCCTCGTACTCCTGAAAATAAATTTTGTAGCAACTGAAACAATTTGCTATTGATGAAAAACATTGATAAATTCGAGATTTTGATGTGCACAAGCATTTTTTCAAGAGTAGTTCTGTGTGCATTCATGACCTGGGATTATTATCAAAAATTTCACTGAATAGATACGAGAATTCTGTCGGAAAATATCAAAGAGTAATACAATGTTTATCTTCAATCAATCTATAATTTTTTTTTGCAGTCGTCAAAATTACGACACGTTGAGCTGGAGGAGGATCCCCACAAAACAATTTTTAGCACGACTGAGCTGTAAAAAATGCCGTAAGTTTGTGTTTTCGTACAGAAACATCAAAGTTTGATGGAATATAGGTCCCAGACTTAGAAGCGACTTGACCAACTTCAGATCTTTCACTAGTTTTTCTTCAAGCAAACCACCAACTTTCTTGAAAAAAGTGTTCTCAATCGCGCTTTCGCGGATGAAAAGAATGCGAATTTCTTATTGCAACCAAATACAAACCTGCAAAGGTTTCCAATAATACGAAATGACATTCGCTCCTACTACAACTCCTAGCACGGCGACAGCGGTCTTCTTGAGTGCCTGTTCGATTGGAATACGGTAAGGCCACCAACGAGGGTTAGAGGACATCGGACGGTCTCAGGCTGAACTTCTGAGACCGTATGCGAATGTAACCTGAAAGATTTCAGCCGAGAGTTCGCGCTCGCCAACGTCAATTCTTACAAGCGAATGGCAGCGAAGATACGGAACTTTTACAGTGTCGTTAGAAGATGAACTAACCCTAAGGATGCAAAAGAAGTTCCTACCTATGACTGTGATCTATAGGAAACCAAAAAATTGGTCGACTAAAGCCGAATTTTTCTTATTGATTTAAAGGGCCAGAATTTCGTATAGGACACTTCATATATGACCCGGTACCACTGTTAAAGATCATCTGCAGATGCACTTTCCTCACTACGAGAAAAAATTTTATTCTTTCAAAGATTGTCAGAAAAGTTTTTTGAAAAATCCTCACTCTGACATGATAATTCAGGTGAGATATAGTAGAATAGCCGATCTGCTTATTGTTAGTAACCAGTGGTCACCTGAGCGGTGACACTAACTTCGGGCTTCACTGAATTTCTTCACAAAAATTCCTGCGGAAATTAAGACTTTTTGTTTTTTGCATCACAATAAAAATCATCACATTATTCTTATTTGGAACGTACTAGGCTCTAGGCCCATTCTTGTTGTATAGAGCAAAAAGTCGCAGTCGCACAGCGCTAAAGATTTTTATGCCACTTGTAAGCACTACTAGCGATACATTTTAATGTATGTTCAAAATTTGAAAATTATATCCTGATACATCATCATGTCCCCAGCAGCAATACTCATATTTTGAGAAACTCCTCTTTCGCCCGTGGATGTTATGGTGAAAGGGCGAAGGGAATGAATTCTATATTTGCTTTGGTGTGGTCTATTTTCTGAGGAGAGCCTCGGAAAACGAAATACTACAAAGAAAACTAGTAGAAAAAAGCCTACAGGTGTTACAACGACTACAAAAAAATGTTCTTCCTTCAATACTAGCTATTCAAAGAAGAACTATAAAGGGAAGAAATTTTGGAACATCTCAGTATTGCGGAAGCATATTTTTAGAGTGTTTTCATAAAATATCACCTGATAATCTATAACTTTCCCAAGATTTATAGTGTGATGATGTCAATGAATACAACTCTATCTGAACAAACATAAATCAAGGAGTACCGATACGTGGTCGCTGAGAAAGTTCGAGTCGCAACAAATGTTGCCCAGGAATGGGACGAAAGATGACTATCCACTAGAATTGTGCAATGATACAAAATTTCAGTGGCTAATCAGTAGATAAAACATTCAGATGGCCGAAAAATAAAATTGTTCTTGATAATCACCAAGAATGTTACAGGACTTTTGTATAACTGTATGTTATCATCAAGAAGGTTACTCAAAAAGACTATTATAGTGGAGCAGGGAGGTAGGGAACCAAAACCTGGTCATGCCTCAAATAGCATTGATTAGGAAAGTAAGATGTAGAGTATGCACACATTCGATTTCGGCATTTCTACCCATTTGCATGGTTATACATTGGTCTATTTGAGTTTGGCTGCCCAAAACCGGCTTTCTCGCCAAATTAACAGATTTTTCAGATTTATAGCTATAGTTTCATTATGTACCGTCGTTCCGTTGACCGCACGGACTGCTCAAACGTTGCAGACTACGCGCAGCGCGGCTGAAATGTTGCGAGAGCACGACTTGAATGGCAAATTTATACTGGAGCAAGCGTTTTGCCGCGCGGCGCGTACTCCGCAGTGATATCCATTCCGTGCGGTCAAGAATCGACGATAGCTGAAGTCTAAATTTGCCCATTCATAATCACTCATGGCACGCACAGCGCATAAAAAAATCTAGCTATACATAAACATAATTGTCCACAATTACTTTGAAAAGTCCAAATTTCGAAATGATATCAAAAAATTGCGACTGCCTTTTCAAAAAAAATCTTGGCTAAAAAACAGCCTTGTTATTTCATGAAAGTTCTATTTGCGTTTCAGAAAACAATCGTACCTAATCGAGAGTGATGCAAGATCCATGTAAGGATAAAGTATAAATCCCGGTACGTGAACGGGATGTTGCTGCACTTACATGTAGATTTCAGTTATATCGCGCAATAAGATAAGGGGAACCTCACAGAAAGACTTCTCAAAATAATTTCGAATCTGCAATTATCCAAGTCGGGATTTGGAGTGGCATATTCAAACACGATGACAGAGAAGAATCAGCATAGCACAAAATACACGCAGTGACAAACATAAGCTTATTCCTTGGAAAAAGTTCCTCCCGCTCGAGCTTCCCATGCAGCGAAAATTTCTAGAAAAGGTATGCTTGAGATACCTTTCAGAATTATCCGAAAACCTCAAAACTGTCAAGAATGCCAAACAGGAGAACTAAGCGAAAACGCGAGGGATTCGAACAAAATTGCAAGAGAATCGTTTGAAAAGGTTCTTGCAAGACTATGTATTCTGATGAATTCACTGCTCAAAAGATAATGCATGGTGCAAATTATAGACAGACCCTCAATCGACTAGCTTGTGATAAGTCAGCCATACAATCTCAGCTCAAGTAGAATATCTCAGAATATGATGTAACTGTGATTCCAAATTTTGAATGACTAGAAAGATGCCACTGATGGTATGTGCAGATCATTCTCACTTTAACGCTTAAAACGTACTTCATTACAAAAACCAAATTGCTATGTGTCGAGAAAAATATAAACATACAGTAACGGCCCGTTACATGCAACTAACGCTTCAAAACTAAAAATCGACTTTGACATTCATCTATTCAACATGTGCAAAAATATGAGGATCGGTTAGTGAGATACATGTGAGGCCACTACGACATCAAGAATCTGAGAAACACTAGTCATGCACTAAGATGGATATGAAAGCTGTTATATGAGAGTAAAACTTCTACGAACTGAGAAATGAATAGATAGATATCTCTGACGCTTTGATGCAAAGCGTACAAGTTTTAAGCACTAAAGCAAGCGAAATAAAACTCGTTCAGTAAAGAGATACATCGTAAAAACATGAAACAACTGTGCACAGGTTTCACAGAAAACTGTGCGGAAACGTACATATTTACATGTTGTACAAGGGACTGATATGGAGCAGAAAACGACGGTAAGCTAATATGTGATGATTGCTTCTCAATGTCTTTTTGATTATACAAGATGCAACGATTGTATTGCGTATACAAAAAGGTTTAGAGCTTGAGACAACATCCCTAACACCCTACAGTTTCATAAGATCGTCGTGGGTGAAAATTTGTCGTGGAGCCATGACCGTTCTGTCGATAACGGCATCATTATTATCTTCCTTCTCGTCTTTCTCCTTTTCTTCATCTGTTTTCTTCTTCTTGGGTCGCGCCTAGAAAATAAAAAAAAATAACTCAAGGGTTATACCTGATCAACTACAGCATTACCAACCTTTTGCTTAACAGCACCAAACTTTGTTTTCACATAGTGAAGACGGAGTATGCCACGAATGAGCTTGCGCCAGTTCCCCAGCACTCGCTCTTCTCGTTTCTAAAATAGATTCAGAAAATTGTTATTACAACACAACAAATGATTTTCTAGAGGAAACGAGCATCGTCGAATTTACTGAGATATTCAAGACCACGCTTAATCGAGCAAAATATAATTTTTGTGCAAGACGATTTTGTCATGTGCTTGGAAATTATACATTTTTTTCACTACCAAGCTACTCCACATGATCTTTACAAACATACAATCACAACCAATTACAAACACTAGTATGGATTGCAGTGACTGATCGTAAAAATAAAGAAAAACTCTTATAATTCCATCATACTACAACTAACCTTGTTCTCTCTTTCTTCTCGAGTTGCCTCCAGCCTTTTGTATTCATCAATGAAACGTTGTGCATCTTCCTCAAGCACACAGGCGCCCTCAATTCTGAAAAGAAAAAGATAAACGGCTTGGTAATGAACGCCCCAACAAGCCACATATTACATAGGAAAATTAGAGGAAGAATTGAAGTCCCATCCGACTACGGCCGGGACACACTCAAGTCCACCTAGACGTCGAGCGATAGAAACAAGCCCGGGCAGACGTAGGTAAACTGCACCAATCGGGCACATGGAAACCTGGTACATGTAGACGTTGCCGAATTCGTTACGTGGGATGCGGCCCTGTATGAAATGCATTTTACATTCTTAATTACACAACACGCTATGCCACATACGTTCTCAACTTTAGGTCGACGATAGGGTTCAGTCTGCCAATACCCGAAAACATCCAGATATCTCTGCTCACGTTCTTCGACAGGAATGCGGATATTGGGTCTTGCTTTCACTACTTTGTAAGGTTTCTCCCCATCCTTAACCATAACTCTCGGAAATGGAAAAGAACATCACAGAATGAAGTTACCTTGACACTTCTAGCCATTTTAATCCAGTTGTTGGCACTCTGAAGGGTATACACAGTTGTACGCGGATACACTTTATGCCCACGAATCTCCCCCAACGGTTTCTGTTCTTCAGGAGGTGGGTAGATTCCCTCAAACTTTAGCAAGTCCTTTTCCAAAACGTATCTAAAATCAAAAATTTCGATCAGATCCTGAAAAAGCAGGGAAAACGAACAGAGGATGATTCTTATATTCGGATAAAGTGGCCGGGAGCGGTTTATTGACAAGCTCTTGTCGCATATGAAAATCTTCCAGCTCACATCTCTTGGGATCTGCTCGTATGATCTGCAACACATACCAATCTTATCAGCACATGTTCAATGATGGTGACTAAAAAATGGCGTAAGATAGACGAGACAGCTATTTATACACTGATTTTAATACTGGTAAAGGGCCCCAGAATTCTTTCGGATAGCGCAAATTCTAGATGAAGCCAGTAGCCAGTCAGGCAGTTCCAAAAAAAGGAAAGCTTCTCAAATTTGTACAACTTGCCCTGATCCACGTCCAGTATTCGATCCTTATGGAAGTGATGAAATTTGGAACAATACTACAATATTAAATTCTTTTTCAGCTAGAACGAGGTTCCTAAAATCCGAAGTCTGTGATGGTGATGCAAGAGGAAAGAAGCGTTTTGGAAAGGTGTAGGATAAGATGCATGGATCTGATTACAACTGGTCAAATTTTGAAAAATGCTCGTCGAGGAAACTTGACTGGGAATAAAGAGCGCATTAGCAGTGTTGCTTCAAGGCTCAAAAGCAAAGGAAATTTGAGTCACGTCTAAATTCATGATATTCCGGTTAGAAAAGCATTTTTGTTTTGAAATTGAAGAAGCAAAAATGAATCGCAACGTTTGCGAATGATTAAATCTTCAAGAAACAGCTTCCAGCAATTTTTAGTCTAATATCAACCTTATGTTTGGCTATACCTTTTTTCCCAGAGTTTTGGCGATCCACTGCTGTGTAGTGCGCAAGCGTCGGAAGTCCGGACGTAGGTATTCGGAGGCATAACGAGCAGTAACATCTCTCACTCCGCCCTCTGAATATGTTCAAAATATAGAAAGAAAGGAAAGTCATGCAAGGAGAACGAACCGCTATCAATTGCGAACACATAACTGACTGGCTTGGTAAGGTTCTCTTCTATAGCATTTGGCTCATCAACAGTTGCACGAAGCGGATCAACACCTGCGTGAAACCGACCGTCATAATTCGAATCGCTGTCAAAAGCACAACAAGGCATTTCAAAAGCCACTCACAAATCCATCTCTTTTGCTTCCTGTCCCAATACTCAATCCAATAATTGCGTACCACGCCCTTGTACTCGGACGCATTCGCAGCTGTTGAACTTCTCTTTTTAGTGACTTCCTTCTTCGGCTTATCCGATTCCGTCTGGGAAGAAGTCTCAGCCACGTCCTTTGTTTTCTTTGCCGCCTCCTTGAGCTTTTTGATTTCCTTCATTACATCCTAAAGCAAGTATAAACAGCAGATACCGGTCTACACAAAAAAAGCACAGACTTCATCCCATTTCCGAGGAATCGGCTGTATGCTGTAGCAAATGCGCGTGAGACACTCCATTGCCATGAAAATGGCGAAGAGAAGCTGGGATGAGAAATTAATTATGAATATGTGTATAATAATGCCTTGCTTACAACTGCTCTATCTGCGTCATTTTCAAACACTTTTTGCGAAACCATTTCGGATAGACGGGCTGTGGCGTCATAACGGCAGGTGCCAGTTTCGTACTTGATCGCTTCGCCAGATGGCTAAAATAAATCACGACTAGAGAAAAAATCATATGCTGCCACCTACCTTGAAAGCGCTATGATACCACTTCGTGATTCTGCGTACATCCTCTATACTCAGCGCCTCTCCTACCAGCTGTTGGTATCCAGTAGGCATCTGTAAATGACCATTTGAGCTATTCAGCAAGAGTGAAGATTCATCCCGAGCAAATCCGAGTCATTCTACTCCCCGACATAGAAATATTTGCTTTTAATTCGTACAAACACCCTCCCCCCCTCCGCCCTATACTGGTGTGCACATACTGAACAAAATTGCGTCCAAGAAAGATTGTTCTTTTCGTAGAAGAGCAGACATATGAACAATACAAGAGCAATCGCCAAAAGAACACCAATAAGTTGCATCATTTCAAACAAACATACCAATGTCAGCATCAAGGATGGTATGAGTCTTTCTTCCAATATAATTTTCCTTAAGAACTGCAGATGCCCGATACAGCAAAGAACGTTGACCTACAACATAAAGCTCCTGGTTTCTCCTACTCCCGCTATATAACGTTTACCTTATGCGCATTTTCCCAATTCTCTCTGACGCATTTATTGACCTCCTGACGCAAATAAATCGCCCACCAGTCTTTTTCTTCATCTTTTTCCAAAGTGACTTGAACATCCTGAATGCAGGTAAAGACAGCAAGCTGAGTGCACACTATGAAACCTACCTTCCCAACAGCTTCGTCGATATCGATAGGCTCCATATCCTCCCACTCGTCTTCGGAAGATGACTCTACATGGAAGATGTTGAAGGACAAAAATCTTACAGCTGTCAGTTACCGTTTTCCTTTTCCTTCTTTGTCTCCTGTGGAATCCCCAAAGCAGCGGCAACAGCTTTCTGATCTGTGGTAGTCTGTGCTCTCATTTCGTCCAATATGCTGATACCCTCCTCCAATGTCATCTCGAAATTTCGTCCAATGGCTAATCCGGCCGCCAAAATCCTAATAGAAGCATCATTTCTTCTTTCCAATTGATGTGCAATCATAAATACTTGAACATTGTGGCCAAATAATATCTGCCGAACTAATTTCGTGCACACTTGAGTGATTCTGGAAGCAGCTTGTCCGCTTTCAGTTAGTATCCCTCTAATAGTTAAAAGGGACGAGAGAAGGAAAGGAGGGAGACGAGGAAGGAGGGGAACGGGGGGGGGGGGGGCAGATTTAAACACCGAAAACTGGCTCCGCTTTCAAAAAACTTCAAGAATGTCAGATTATGTTGACGTCCTAATAGCCCTTCACGGTGAAGACAAAACCTATAAAGTATACTCGACTACATTTCAAGAGGGAAAGAAGTTTGTTCTCTCGCTTCGCCGACCGGCATGTGGTTTGGAGCAGCAGATAAAGAGGTAGAGAAGGCAGAACTGTCATGCATAATCCCCCATAAATCCTAATAACGCACCTAAACTTTAACATCTTTTTCTCTCCTTTTCGAAGCTTTCTAGGTGGAACGTTGATGTCACCTTCCATGGCAGGTTCACCTGTCTTCTGCCACGGCTTAACTGGCTTCGGAGCATGTGGTAGTGCAGTAGCTGCAGGGGCTTTAGAGGATTTCCGACCAGCTACAAATATCAAGTGAAGATTTGGATCAAAATGTATTTAACTCACTTCCTGAGCCACCGGAGCTGCGAGATTTAGCCGATCCTGCTTTGCTTGCTCCCCTGAAAAGTAAAGTAGTACGGACAAATCAAGATTGTTTTACCTACTTTGTGGCCTGTTTGCGCCCAGACTGTTTCCCTCCCGTTGTCTTAGCTCGTTTCTGAGGGACCAAATCAAAACTTTCATCACTGTCATACGACGCATCTGCTTCTTCCTCCACAGCTTCACTCTCGGTGTTCTCCTGAAGCATTTGCAAATAATCTACCTAGTCTAATGATTCTTATGTACCTCAGATTTCTCCTTTTCCGACAAGGGTATACTGTCACTGGCGCTCGATGGGGGTGAACTGGAGGAGCTTCCATCATCACTTCCTTGCTTCAAAGCATAGTCCTTGCGCGCCACACTCCGCCCACTTCGACGGACAACAGTTTCTGACACAAAATAGCTGATGCAAATTGACTACATAGGTATATCGGGAGGATCGAGCCTTTAATCATCCAATTTCAGATTTGAAAGTGGGGAGCACCCGACCCTTCGAACGTAAGCAGCACCACTGCGCACAAGTGCTGATTGCCAAAAAGAAATCTTCAACTACCTTTCTTTACTGGAGGTTCCTTCTTCAAACTCTTCTTCTTTTTGGCGCTTTGTTTTACAGCCTTCTTTTTGCGGGTTTCAGTGAGCGGTTCTTCGTCTTCCTAAACTATAAAGTGTATTCGGCTCAACCCACTAAGACAACTTACCTCACTGGTATTCCCAAAGTCTTCCCATCCTTCTGCATCTTCCATCTTCTCTACCGCAGTTCCAATCTCTTTTTCATCAACATTTGCAACTGCCTCTGCACTAGAAACTGGAGGCTCGCTTGAGGAACTCTTTCCTTCCTCTTTTTGCTCTATTACATCTTCTTCCTTCTTCATTTTCTTACCGACCACATCTTGACCGGAGTCAGAAGAAAGACTGCGACGTTGTGCAGACCTACGCTTTGGTTTAGCTTCTGCACTGTTTTTCTTTGATAGAGAGGACTTTCGGTGTGCTGGTGAGTTTTTCGGATTAGGGGGCTTCTTTGCTGATGACTTCTTCGAAGTGGTGGATTTTGAGTCAATTTCTTTTTCGATTACGGCCTCCTTCCCACTTTGGGGAGATGGAAGTGTTGATTTGAATCTGCTACGGGTAGTCACCATCTAAAGGTCTCCGACTGATTATCAGCTACAGTCGACTGAAACAGCAAAACCATCGATACTTCCTCGCAAATACCCATGTTAAATGCAAAGAGTTGAATAAAACATTTATACATCATTCACTTGAAGGCACGTAAGTATATTGTGACACAATCAGAGTAGGATTTCGTAACCAAAGCAAACGTTTCAAAACTGACTATCAGCATGAGATCACCTCTTCGTTCACGGCCAGGTTGACTTATTACGTGTATAGCGCCGAAACGTGTAGAGCTGCATTTAGATCCAACTATGTACTAGTCTGTAATATTTCAAGATGAAGAGCGGAACGATTCAGGCACGCAATCTGCATGTCTTTGAAGAGAATGACAAGACAAAGGCAAGTCTTACGTTTGCGGATCTAACAAAGAGTTTAATGACTCATGATCGCCCCAAAACTATATGAACTATTCAAACTTGTCCTACTTCGACGGATTCATGATTGCGAGCATCTAACGCTAGATATCGACCAAGTCTGTGAAAGCTTATATTTCGATACGAACAATAATAAAGTGTGAGAAAGATTACACCTCAAAATGAACAGCAAGCTTTTGATGTTGTTCATCCGAAAGAATAGCCCAGATTACGCACCTTTTTTTATGAAGTGCAGTGTTTTACATACCTTGTGCTGAGGTCTGTCTCGAACAACTAGCACTTTTCAATGCATAGAAGATAGAAGACTACGAAAAACTCAGACAATACTCTCAGCCAAAAACGATTGATATGCTTGTTGAGAAGGCACATGATAGGGAAAAGATTTCGTTAGTAAGCTTAATTTACCTGGGACTCATTTCTCCTCATTTCCTCATATCTACAATCTCTGTTGATAAATCTGTACAGTACTTGACGTGGGTGGCCTCCATAAACAGCTTTTCCGCTTCCGGATGGAGGTGAAATCCAGTTTCGGTGCAACCTTCCACGACACTCATGCCATAGGGAGTCATCACAAATGTACCGACTCTGTAGGACTCTAACTTTATTACGCTGACTTGGATGAAAGAGGCTGCATGATATGAACTTTGCCCCTTGAAGGACAGAACTGAACCTACTGGTTGTGGGATGGTGCACATACGATGGCTACTGCTTCACTCAACATCATCTGGTAGGAACAATGAGTGTGCAGGTCAACGGAGGACAGAAACGCAGTCTGACTTGGATGTGTGTGTATCCAGCCAAGTGTCAATAAATCGTGTTTGGTTTGATAGGCAAAAATCTAAAATAGAGAACTACGCTGTGTCAACCTCCGATGTCACAGTGTGTATTGAAGTGCGAAAAACGTACATCCTCTTCTCCTTCGGCCTGGCACCCATCCGAAGCTCCGCTCTGCTTAGGAACGATAACGTGAGAAACCACAAAGTTATCACCTTCCTAAAATACAAATAAAAAAATGCAGCAAAGTTCAGAAAAGTGAAGGTGCCCACTATAGAACCGCAAAGAGTGCCACAAGTTTCCTTGTCCTGCAAGGTGTTTCGTTCAGCACAGGTCAAAAACCTGAATAGTAGTTTCATCACCATACAAAACAAAAAATTTGAAGTGATGACTTACTTTTGAACCAAGTCACCACCTATCCGAACAGTTCTGTTACCGATTGGTGAGGCACCGCCATGACTAGGATGATATAAAGCATGCGGCTTGTCGTTTCTGTTGATAGGGGGAGCACTTGGAAGCACTTTCGTTGATGAACCCGCGTTGGATGTATTTGGAAAATCATTAAGAGGCGAGTAAGAGATACCGCTTGTGTTGACGCCCGGGTCGCTGTAAAAGGAATAATCTATCCAGTAGACATGCGAAAAATGGCACCAAATTAAGAAAATTGCAACATAGTGCAACAAGAGAGAGATTGATCTCCAACAGGTGGAAATTTGCAAAAGGATGTTCGGAAGTGCTCACGTAATATGCAGATTTGCTTTGTCTGGTGGCACAGAAGTAGCTGCCCTGGGGACATTATTGGAAGAAGGCACACCAATCTCCTGCAACAAGTATCAATATACTGTAGACAAGCATAAACCTTTAAATCGCATCTAATCCCTGACGGATGATATGAAGAATAGAAACTCGAACAAAGAGAAAATTTTGATGCCCAGAAATTTTTTCTAATTTTCATGTAGGTATGCCGTCAGAAACTCACGTGCCGCTCACTGAGACGAGCGTTTGTTTTTGCCGCTTCCGCTGCTTCTTGCTCAAACTTCAGCCGCAGCTCTTGCTTGATACGTTCTGCCTTGAAAAAAAATTGTAGTCAATTAAGCATGTCGAAATGATTCCAGATGTTTCTGCTCATAAACTGTTTACGGGGATGGTATTGGAGAATGTCGAAATGTGTGTACGAAAGACCGTCACAGTCGTTGTCCTTGAAATAAGCATGAGGACAAAGACTTGTCGCTGACAGCGGGATGTATAGCGCCGCTGTTGCATAACATGGCAAGTACAATACGACAACAAGGGAGGTTAGAGGCTGAGTGCATTATGACCAAACCTTCGTTTACTTTTTTTCATAAACTTAGAAGTTTTCGCATGCTCAAATTTTTTTTACCGAATTTCAAAACAGAACTGCAATGCAAAAAAAAGTTATAGTAAATGAATACTTCTGACGGATCACTCCCTAAACAAATCAAGATCATCTCCCTTCTAACTGCTAGGAGAGCGAGCCTGAAAGCGATTTCAGTTTTCTTGACAACTTCAGCGCAATATTTTGAATAATGTTGGTATGTGAAGATAAAGACTGATGATTAACACATTGACGACCTCTTGACATACCATGATTCTCATTGGAATGGCTACTAATTTGCGTCAAACCAACTTTAGGAGTTTTCTTTTATTGTGGATCTAGATACAACCTCTACTGTTTTTGTCAGCATTCCAACGCTACTGCAGGTGTACTGCAGATGGAACTGCGCATGATTATCTGAAAAATGTTGGCTGGTCCGAGAAAAGCTTTGGTCGTCAATGTGTTAAAAAAAACGTAGAAAAGACCAACATGTTCAAAAGCTGTTTTCAGAAGGGCGAACACAGTTTTCTTCTCTTCCCCAGCAAACTCGGCATACTGAGCGTGCTTCGGCAGCTCCTCTATCGTGAAACTGTAATATTCTATACTCAAACTTGTCCTTCATGTACCAAACAACAGTGCAGCGATAAGCACTTAAAATAGTTACGCACCTACAAAACCGGATAAGAAGTACGAGTGCTCTTTGTAGATCTTGATTTTTCATATATGATAGTGCCATCCGATGCACTTCTAGCATACTCCGATAATATCTGGAAAAAAAGTAGATTTGAGCTGCGTATACATTCATGTGATCTCACCCACCGCACGATAGGGATTGCATTACTGATCTTCTGGGCTTTTCCTAATGCAAGGAGATTTGCCATTCGCTCACTAGCGCTAGCCCTGTGTAACTCCTCGTTATTTGCTATACAACCATCCATTATGTGTTAAGAAATAATCAACAATCTGGAAAAAAGAGTAAATTATTCCTCAAAAACAAGGCAAGCAACACAAAATTCTCCATAAATAGTGAAGCTATACACGACTCATGACACGCAAAGACTGTACGCCGTTGCCTCCGGCCAGATAGTTTGTGCATGGGAGAGACGGCAGATGGTAGGAGAAACGAAAGATGCTCGGTCAAAGCGCCGATAAGTCCGCACTCTTTGCTGCTATAAATCGTCTATACTTTATAATCTAACATATAAATCCGCTTTTTTGCAAGGAAGAACGAAGAAAATGCAAGCTCCCGCGGCCAAAACTCTTGCATATTACTCCTCCCTGCGGCTATGTGTCGAGATTAGTCCTTTTGAGTCCGACGCGGTCAAAGTCCTTGATTACAGACGGAACTATTTGTAGGGTGGGCTTATCTACCCACCAGCATCCTTACATCCTTATAAAAAAAAGAACGGTCTTATCTGTACAAGGACATCTATAAATGGATTTATCTGCGGAGAGCATATATGCCAGATTTTAGGATGCTTCGGAGAAGAGACATTAAACTGACATGGATTTTCCGACAGTCAACGTACAAAAAAGGAACTTTTTGATGACAACGGAAATATGGGACAAGGAGATAGAAAGCACACAAGACGTATTGAACTATACAACCAGTGTATGATTAGTACATTCGTGAAAAAGGTCATTTGAACAGATTTCCTAGTCATGCGAGCAGACTTTCAGCTGGATTTTCTTTCACTATGCTTCGTTCGCCCCCTCAGGTTCACGCAATAGACATACAAAATTCAACGGATGACAATACACAGCCGATAAGTTGATCAAAATTATCCAGTTCTTTGACTATAGATTTCAGTGAACGTCGAGAGGAGTCCGTGCTAATTCCATGCTCTTCACGAACAAAAAAGAAGTGTACAAAAAAGGAAAGACAAAAAGTGATACACTAACAAGTGGATGCGTAGGCTGCTTGTGAAAAGAAGGAAATTTGATAACAAAGCACCTTTCCAATTAAATACCCTTCAAAAAACCGAAAGTAGGGCAGCCGCCTCCAACCATGAATTCTTAGTATTACAAAATGCGGTATGGCAAATCAGGACAATGGACATCGAGCGAAATTTTCTAAGCCGATAGAAAGCATACAAACTACGACAGTTCACTATCCTTTAGTAAGAGCTAGAAAAATAAAACGAATATGGTGCCTGAACGGACAGCAGCGACTGGTGAAAAAAAAAGACATGTTTTGCTGCTTGTGCCTTCAAATTGCAGAATTTCGAGTATTTGCAGAGGAACATAGGTCATGCGGTTCGAAATAGAATGGAGAGAATTTGTGAGCATGTCGCGAGGTATCGACAAGACCATACCATGGAGCCAGTAAAGAATTGTGGCAAATATATTTATATCACTTATACAAACAAAGCAATGTGGAGCTACAGAAGAAGTACAGAAAAAAATTGCAAACAATAAATTCGATAACAGGATAAAAGAAACAAGTGGATAAGTCAACCCCACGCGTATGTGGTGCTGTAATGCATTATCAGATGGTCTTCTTTCTCGGTTTTAACAGCATAACAATCACGAAGGGAACCGAATGTGTGATCTGGAGACGGAGCAAAAGTTTGTGAGATATAGACATGCAGGCATTGATCGTCGGGCAGATTGATAAGCTTTCTAATTACTTGTGAGAACCAAGCCACTGTTCTATGTACGTCGACATTGAACTTCTTCTGCTTTAGAATCGGAGCATCTCCTACAGCACGCAGCAGAATCGTGACCTTGTCATCGGGCATTTCTGGCTGACTGAAATACAGAGAAGTTAGCAATGTATATCAAAGATCTACCAAATCCTGAGACTGCTTTCATAACTACGACTGGAAGGTTACTACATTTCTGACCACTGGTGCAGTTGACTGAACACGATTTCTCGACAAAGAAATCGCCTCAACTAGCTTCAACAAAGAAAGCTAAAGATTCTCCTTACTTGATGTCAGTAGTTACTGATTTCAAAATGCTTGGAAAATCCTCCGTATGCTCGGAAGACATCAATTCGGCATAATCATTTCGAACAACGAAATCGCCTTTGATCGTGAGATGATAATAAAAAAAAACCTACTTCACATAAACAGGGCTCGTCCAACAAGAACAGAGAGACCGATGGCAATTGAAATGAACGTAACAGCAACACTTGTAAAGACCTTTCTTTCCCAAGGCTCAAGCATGTACACTCCAGTTACGAGGCAATATTGGAGGTAGAGCCACTCCAGTTTATTGAGCTGAACAGAGGTAAATCTCATCTGAGAATTACAGATAATCGTCAGCATGCTCTAAATTCCCGACGGGCGCTTCTAGAACTCATATGATATCACTTATAAGAGAAGGATACTTATTGTTAGTGACGATACCGGTCGTAATGACACACATACCCCTAGCTGTTTCCTTGAACGCTAATTCCAAATCTGCTTTCGCCAAGCGATTGCGATTTCTGCCAAGCGATTGTGTGAAATAAATTATGAGTGCTTTTTCCCATGAAAATTGCACTGTTTCAGTCAACAAAACTATAAACATCGCTCGGATTTTTGGTTTCGCTCCTTAGGACATTTAAAGGAGGCAATTACTCTGAATTTGGTTGATCTGTCTTAGTAGCATTCCCTCAAAAAGCTCAGATATCAATGATCTCAATATACTTTGGTGCGAAAATCTGCCAAGAAAAGCTCATATCTTATAACAGCCTACTGTTCAGCAGATAGCGAAAGCAGATTTGTAATCAGCGTTTTAAGACGCACAATTAAAGATAATGTATCACATTACAAATGGCTACGATCACCAAGTATCCTTTACTTGTTGAAGTAGATATGCGTCATTCCGTACTGAAAAAAACGGAGATCCAATAACACTTCGACAAACGCTGATTAAATACATTATTAAGCCCGAAGAAAAGCTGGTAACCAGCATAATTAGATAACTTCTCACATTACTTTCAGTAAAGAGTGAAACATGGCAATACTGAATTTCAATCAAGGATTTAACTAAGTCCACCAAATTCTTTGCAAAATGAGATAGGAGAAACATAACTGCTTGTAGATAAACGTCACGGTGTTTCCGACATCGATGAACTATTTCGCAACATAGAAAATTGGATGAAACACGCACGGAGCTTACCGGTTTTATCTTCTTCTTTTCAGCCAGCGAATCGCTCATCACAGAAAGGCGTCTTGTAGAAGCGAAGGAGTGAATGCTCACTGATAACGTTCCATTAATCACTCCACATTCGACAGTCAAATTTTATAAAGCGCAGGCGTGAAATCTGGTGCAGTGACCGCACAGCCAACGCATTAGATTTTACGTCTACGCATGTTTTCGCATTCCTTCCCTAATTTTGCGTTCTTCTTCACTTTAATTTTGCGTTCTTCTTCACTTGAGCTCATTGTGAGGTGTGAAACTTGTTTTGCTTCCACTTCAGACTTGTTGCGATTGGTTATGCCAGTTCATACAAAGCGGCAAGTTCTACGTCGTCTTTTATGTCGCTGTACTTTTTTTGAACAAAATTTGTGCTTCTGCCATTAGCGCAAATTAACATTGTTGCTAGGCGAATTTTGGAGTTAAAAGTCTCAAGCTACTGCACTGACAGTTATCTCTGACTCCTCTTCCTATGGAATTCTTTGCTGTTGCTCTGTTAACTGTTTACTCATGTTTATGTCATAAGGTCACGTTAAGAACTCCGCAGCGATATGTTTTGCGTCTGACTGCCGTCAGACGTCTGCGCCAAATGACGTTCTAAAATCATTGCTGTGATAGCGTCATTGTGCTACTGGCTTTATGAGAACTTCGCATCAGGCTTTCATCGATTTTTCTGGCACTTCAGGAGACGTTCTCGTTCCCATGTTTGATAAATTATATTGTATCAGTTGCTTGCCTGTGCTCATGAATGCTGCTAGCAGCTGGCTGCATAAACCGACCTCCTGTGTTCTCGTGCTTGTTGGCCTTTGTCGGCATTTCTTCTATCTTTGTTCTATATATTGAACATTGAAATGAGTATTTATTGCCCCTGCCATTCAGTATGGGCATTTTCCATACCAAACATAGGATTGCATAAATTCTGTGCAGGTATTCTTTAGCACTGATGTACCGAGGCTATCAATTTTTATGGTAAATGTTTTCGTTGGTGCATTGCAGTGTAATCTGCAGACAGACGACTAGCTGTTTTTTCGTTCCCAATAAAAAATTAATCGCACCATGTCTTCTGATAGGCACGTTCCAAAATGTAGCGATCCAGGTGTGCATTCCTCCTCCTTCGTCATCGATAATCTCTGGTCGAGCATTGTCGTTCACAATGAAGTCAACAGTGATGTTTGATGAATTACGTGGACACCACTGCATGAGTCATTGTCTATGTTCAAGGAAATGTGCTTTCTCAATCAAGTTATTATGTGTTCGCCATTACAGTTTCAGTCATCCCCTTTTATAACACAGTCTGATGAGATTTGCTCAAAATATTTAGCAACAATATGATTTACGGAGGTATTCGTTACACTCTTTCACTTGTGTACTTTTTTTTCTGCGTGTTTTTATCCCCCATCTTTTTATGTTCCAATGTCTCTATCTCACTCCCTATTGTTTGCATACCAGGTCCTGCTTGCATCATTCTCTATCGCAGTATGATTTTCTACAACCTATGATCTTCTAATTGTCTAGAATTTTATAAATTAGCTCATGTATTCTGCGATGTGTCAAGTGTATAATTGCGAATTATGATAGCGCCGCGGTCAAGAAGTCCATTCTGATAACGATTTGCGGCATGTGCATTACTCATCTCATTCACTTTGAAGGCATCGAGTGAACTCCGCGTTTGTTTTTGCTACGACCTGCGGATTGTCACTCGATCAATTTTACTGCATAAATCATGGGAAAAGGACGCAATAAAAATAAAGAAAAGGATTCTTATTCCGGCCCTACTCGGAAAGGAAGAGGTGAGTAAGCATATCAATGATAATGTGACGTATTCAAAACAAGGTATTATATACCTGCTCTCATACATATTGTTCTTGCTTCACGTTGATAATTAACTTCCTATTCTTTTTTTTCACGCTACTGGCTCTATCATTTCCATTTTGTAGAATTGGCTACAAACGCAAATTCGGACAGAAAACGGATCATCCATCGCATTTCATTGCAGTAGATTATTGTTAAAAAGAAGCGATTTTGCACTTTCTTCGGCTCCAGCGAAGGTTTCGTAGATAACATCAGTGCGCGTGATTACCCACTTAAGGGCCGGGCATACTTTACGCGATTTCAGTTGCGACGCGATTTGGCAATTCGCCAGAAGTTTTCAGATCCAACACTAGCAAACTGCACATGCATAGTGTGTATAACTTACGTGGACTGATAAAATGCCCTATCTTCTGTACATTTAAAATGTGCTTACGGTGAGTTATAGATAGTTGGAATATTGCCAAATCGCGTCGCGACCTAAATCGCGTGAAGTATGCCCGGCCCTTTACCTGTTTGATTTGCCATCTCATCAAAGTTACAAAGCGAAATACAATGATATGAGAGAGTTATCAAAGACTAGACGTTCTGTATATACTAGGGTGAGTCAAAAGTAACGAGAACTTCGTATCTCCTCTTAAACCTATTCTCAAATTAGGTAGAATGTAAACAGGCAAATGCTCTAAACGGTATCCGATACGGCTTTTCTTCCTCTTTGCAGTCATAATTTTTCAACTAAATCACTTTGTAGTTGATGAAATATTTGCAGAAATTTTGACCAAAGCGTTTGCCGTTCAAATTCTATGGTTTTTTTTCAGACATGGCAAAATATTCTGGATTATGTTAATTTGAAACGGTAAGCGCTTCAATATTTTGCAGAATCAAGGTTTGATAATAAACTATTTTCGAAGCTCCCAATTTCGAAAGATTTTGTAAAGTTTGTAAAGTTTGATGCATTTTTGTTTTGAGCGATTTTTTGAAATTTTAGGGCTTTTGGAAAAATGATTTTAAAAAGCTTAAAATGCTAGTTTCGAAAGACTCAAGAGGTGATTTGCATTAAGCAGGACCTGCTCTTTCTTTAGATAATCGAATTCGTTTGGAATTCTCAAACTAAAAGTTTTGAGGATTAGCTAAACTCACTCAAAGCAAAAATGACGGGTTCAAAATTTGGGAAATTTTTTCGACAACTAAGAAGTCAACTGGGCCGTCGGCCTGGCTGCTGAAAAGAGAAGGAAAAGCTACGTTTGGTACAGTTTAGAATACTCCTCTATCAATATTCTACACAATTTGCTAAAAGTTCGAAAAGGTGCGCGAAAAGTTCTCATTACTTTTGACTCAACCTAATACATTCGAGAAGCCCTGTTTGTTAAGAGAGGAAGAAATGATCCGCAAATTATTTCCATGGTTATTTGGTTTTGAGTTTAACTCAATCGTTTCAGAAGATGACGGTAGTGAAAGCGATGCCGAATCGGTCTCAACGCATTTCAGCGTGGATGACGACATGAGGAGCGTACAAGGTGCTTTCTTTTGAACATCTATTTAATATGTGCATGGAGAATATTTTTCTAGGTGAAACTGGTGAAGACCTTGATGTTCCTGATTTTTTGGATAGCCTCAGCGAGCACATTGAAAACGCCAGCCATAAAAAGTAATCTCGATTTGCATGTAGTTCTCGCTTCAAATGGTACTTACAGTATATCCATACGGATGGCTGCATTGAAGCATCTCCAATTGGCCTTTTGTTCGCAGTATCTGCCGGATTTCATTACGAAATGGCGAATGACTCTGGTCGAACTTATCAGCAGAAATTTGCGCAAAACTGATGAGGAAATTGCTGTCTCAGCAGTCCTGCTTGCTTTGATGTCCCTACAATTAGGTATCAAAACTGGAAAATCATCACTCATCCCATAATCTTATTGTTAAGGTGAGGAAATGGGTTCCGATATCGAGGAGTGCCTGGCGACTCTACGTGCTCTTGTAACAGACCCTTCCAGAGCGGAGCAGCTACGCTCCCTTTGCGCCGTTTCCATTGCTGTTACCACTCATGTGGCTTCAGTCAGTGATGAATCTGTAGCTGCTAGTATAAAGGTACATCACATGCCCACTTTATTCCTCATATCATCGGCAGTTTTAGGCACTGAGATCCGTCTGGGCTACTTTGAAATCGACTGCGCATAGCACGCGACTTTACTCAACTGCTTTGGAAAGTTGGTGCTTATTGTTGCAGGTAAACCATCGTTTTCTTATAAATTTTCTTTTTATTTGAGCGGGTTGCATAATATAGTTTACAAGAGCATTGAGCCGCCAACTAAAGAATGCACTGTGCTCAAAATCCCAATTTGCAACATGCATGTCATGAGGAAGCTTAGAACCTAGACGTGCCATAGGCGGTTGTCCAGGTTAAATTATTGTTTCCTTTTATTGAAAGGAAACTGGGGTTAAGAAAAGCTTGAATCAAAAACGTCGAAGATTTGAGTAGACGGTGCCACCAATCAGGGGCGCACACTCGTTGAGACAAAATATAGAGTTCAATGCTGCTGATCACAGATAATTGCCAGAGTCCTCTTTGTTTGCTGATGTTAGCGTTCAGGATGCTGACGCAGCTACGTTAAACTCCGCTTTTGGCGAATTCTCAAAGCTTGCATTTTTCCTGGAAGCAGATCAGCTTGATATTCGGATAGCTACTGGAGAAGCACTTGCTTTTATTTACGAGCTTGGTTCGGAGACCAGGCCAAGCTTTCGGCTTCCAAATCATCAGCAAATAGTAGAGGTAAGTACGAATATGAACGCTAAACGGGGACAAAGCTGAGAGTTTTATTGCAGATTCTCGATGCTCTATGTAGTGAAAGTTCCAAAACAAAAGCGAAGAAGGACAAGAGAGCTCAGCGATTTACATTGAGGTCATCACTTTTGTGAATTCGAGCAAAGGTTCCAATCAAACGCGATACCTATCTTTTCAGGCAAGTGTATTCGAGCATAGTGCAGAGAGATACACCGTCTATAACCATAAAATTCAACAGAGAAGTACTTATTCTGGATTCATGTGCTTCGAAATTGCTCTACGACATTTGTTGTGAGGTAGGCAGTTTGTTCTCAAGCTAGCTTATAGTAAAAGGAGCAAAGTGATTTCATCTTCAACATAGTGCAGTATATAGCGGATTAGGGAAGATTTAGACACCGGCTGCGTCCGCTTTTGTTTTGTTTGGAAAACGTTCAGTTAATGGGCGACAATGGGCGCTATAGATACACATCCCAGAAATGAAAAACTCGGACTGCTAAAACTTTCTACCTAGAGGTTATCTAACATGCTGATTACGAATGTGGCCCTAGTTTTGCATGAAAGGATTTTCTGTGGGTACGGCAGGGAGTCATTCACGAAATTGGATGAAATTCGGTCTAGGAGATCTATTTGACATGCTGATCACGAATATCACTTTACCGTACGGTGTACGCTGGGAGTAAAAGTTGCAGACTTTCCCGAAACTTTGCCTGGGGATTTATTTAGCACGCTGAACGTGTATTTTATAAAGTTTTCGCACGGTAGCACTTTTTTGTTATGGTGGGCATACGGTAGCTGAGTCAAAACCCAAAATTTACTCAAAGCTTTACCTGGAGTTTTTGAGCAAGTTTACGAATATCATAGTTGCTCTTTGCAACGCTTAATCGTGGTTACGGTGATTTGCAGTGTACGAGTAGACACTTTTTCCCTTTTTGGTCAATATGGATTCTAAAAATTCATTTAAAGGCTTTATAATGCGAGAAGAGCACAATACTCGAGAGCACGTCAAATACCCCCCCCCCCATTCTCCCTATGTACAAAGCTCCAGGCAGGTATATGGTTTTGACCTCCTAACATATGCCTACCGTATCTCCATCTCCATGAAAATCCGAACACGCAAGGAGAATATGGATCAGATCTCTCCCCCCCTCCCCTAGATCAAATTCATCCACATTCGTGATTCTCATCCCTACCGTACACCCACCGTAACGGTACGGAGAGGTTCTTGCGCGGTAAAAGTGTGAGATTTGTGAGCAGCATGTCGAATAACCCTAGACCAGATTTCATCGGTATTCGTGATTTTGACCACCTACCATACACCTGCCGTAATCCACAAAAAGTTCTTCCATGCAATGCGAGTGTCATTTTCGTGATCAGCATGTCAAAGACCCCTCCGTCCTTCAAAGTTTTAGCAAATTCCGAGATTTTTCATTTTTGGGTTGCGTACTCTGGATTAGTTCCGTTCCGAATGTTTTTGTTCCAGCTCCTTCGCGGTGGTATTGTAAGGCAGTTGCAATACAATGAGCTACTGCGCGATCTTTTTGACTTGGGTCCGGTTCAGGAGGTGGATCCAGTGGAGAAGATCAGCAAGCTGGCCAGAGTAAGTATTCATGCTTCACCAGCTGTAGCACTGCATTCTGTTGTTTCAGATGGCAGCACTTGATGCAGCGTCCAAGCACAGAAATCAAATGCGCGGCAAACAAAGGGATAAACGAAATGTTGTGCTGTAGGCTATGTGACTAATAATTAGCTTCATATTGACTTAGATACCAGACTGGATGGGCACTTTTGATCCAGCCTCCACAACGAAATGCTTTTGATTTGGACTCCAGTCTGTGATTCATATGTGAGACCTCTTTTAGAAGTTCTTGGGTTTATACCATTTTAGCTGTTGTATCAGAAATCTCTTTTCGGATAGTATGTAAGTTTTACTGAGCGCTTTGACCCTTACCCCAAATTTACACCTTCATATTGATTAGAAGCGTAATTGTTAGAGTAGTGCGATTATCATTGTGAGGGGTTCGCTGATTCAGCTAGGCCTCGTCACTGGCGCTATTCCAGTATCCGGGCCCCAAAATTTTTTTGTCATGAATTTTGCTGAAACTTGGCCCAGGGACTTATTCGGCCCGCTGATGCCTACTACCATGTTGGTTTTGGACGGTAGCGTCATTATCTAGGGCCACGGTGGGTATACGGTAGGGGGTCAAAATCATGGAATTCGCTGCAACTTCTCACAGAGGGGTTATTCGACATGCTGATTAGACATGTCACACTTTCTCCGCCCGAAAACGCCTCCCTGCATGGCTGCGGTAGGTTTACGGTAGGGGTCAAAATCACAAAAAATGTATCTTCTCCCTGTGTTTTGCTTAGGCAAAAGCCGCAGCAGTTTGTGTAGCGCGCGGCGGTGGTCGCGTGTGCAAAGTTTCACGACGCCCTGATCGCCGTACATCCGTTTCAGGCAAAACTATGTTTTTCACCCGTTACCGTGTACCTACTGTAACCCGAGAAAATGACGCTACCGTACAAAACTATGATATTCGGCATCAGCAGGTCGAATAACCCTCCCCCCCCCCCTCCTGGGCCAAGTTTCAGCGAATTCCGTGATTTTGACCCCCTACCGTAACCCTAGAAAATGACGCTATCGTACAAAAACAATATGATATTCGGCACCAGCGTGTCGATTAACCCCTCTGTGTGAATTTACAGCGAATTTTGAGATTTTGACCCACTACCGTATACCCACCGTAACCCGAGAAAATGACGCTACGGTACAGATTCAATGTGATATTTGGCATTAGCGGGCCGAGTAAGTCCTGTGGGCCAAGTTTCAGCAAAATCCATGACAAAAAAATTTTGGGGCCCGGATACTGGAATAGCGCCCATTGATCCAATACTTAGGATTTTTCATTTTCTGGATGGAGCTATTTCTCCGTACCTACTCACTGACGACAAATATTCAAATTCATGTAGATATTCTGACACCTCACATTCGCAGCGCGTTTTATCCAACTGATTTGTTTATGCATATGGTTTTTTCTGTGAATAGGCGTTTGCAGCTTCCTGGTTATAGTCTAGTAGATTTGGAGAGCGACATAGTGTCGACAGTGATTGCGCCGAAACTATCATGGTTCGCAAGACTTGAGAATGAGCGCTGATACCATATATTACGGCAAGTGTTGTCGAAATCGGACAATTTTCATTGCACTTCGACACCCCTTAGGCCCCGGTCAGACTTCACGCGACTTATCGTCGCGATCTAATCGCCAAGATTTCCATTCATTTTCATTTCACATTCAAAAAGTTCGGGCTGGAAAAGTATCACAACCGAATGCAAGTTGATCGGCAAATGATCTTGTAACAGTTGTCTCGTCGCGATTCAGTCGCGACGATCAAATCGCGTGAAGTCTGCCCGGGGCCTTAGGCCGTCATAAATCAAATATGCTAGACTATACGCTGCGAAAACCTCTTTTATGGATTTACTCTCTCACCTCTAGCTTGTATCCTTCATTATCAGTAATCTATCTATCTGTGTGACTATTGAGATACTAGTTTGGAATATAGTCGTGTGTATATAAGCACTGCCACTATCTTCCCAGAACAGACTTTCATCCCGGTTTCTTTCTGTATAAGATATAGTCGACTATTCTGTCGAAAGGCTAGAAATAAAAGTTTTTCTATGTACATTGTTACGCAACAGTCATATTTTACGCTGCATTGCGTACTACTGGATATGTTGAATTGCTCAGCAAAAATAATTTCCACTTAGTATTTTGATTAATTCTGGATTGACTGCTTCGTATTCATTCCATGGATGAGAGGTGCATGCTGATAGCCTGAAAAGGTTACCTCCAAGAAAACGTAATTTGAGCAAAAGTATTTGCTTCAAGAATACTCCATAATTGCGTCTAAATCCATCACTTGATGTATGCTGGAATGCCACGACTTGGCAATACTCTAGTCCACACGGAAAATAGCACATTTTATTAACACACAAAAGCTGTATACACCAAGCATTTATGATCTGCAAGTGTTGGGTTTGAGGAGATCTGGCAAATGGCCAAATCCCGTGGCGATGAAATCGCTAGAGATATGCTCAGGGCCTATGGCTTATCTTGAAAAGCCACAGTCACCTACGATCTTTTCCCAATCAACAATGTCGCTCATATCAACTTCAGTTTCATTTGCCCCACCTGTAAAATACTGTTTCCTGATCCAGTGCCAAAAGTGCGATTGCATCAACTTTTTGTATTTCCTTTGCCTTACATTCTAAGCAGTTTTATTCTGCCTTTCAAAGCAGAGCATGTGAAGGACTGGAAGAATTCAGCGATGGTAAGTAGAGGGTTATCTTAATTGAACTCCGATGTTGATTTAAATCAGTGTCTACCACTTCTAAACTAGTACGGAATGTACAACGTACGATATATAACAGTCGTAATTATCCAAAAGTAGTAAACTCGTATTGCTTTTGCGAAATAATTCTTGGAATTAGATGCGACTCAGAGGCTCTGATAATTTTACACTTTCTACAAAAAAATTCGGAAAAGCAGATGTTGTTGTGTAGCGTCTACCCTATTTCTTTACATTTGTGCTCCGAAAGAATCGCGGAAACTTTGGTAGAAGATAGTCACTATCTCTGTTGAAAACTTCAATAGTATAACGGGAAAATAGGGTTCGAAGGCCACAGATGTGTGTGCAAGAGAACTGGCTTGGAAAATGTCTACGTCGAAAGATTACTCATCAAGTAAACTCGCTCAAATTCTGCTGGGGAAAGAGTATTCGAGAAGAGTGGTGAGTAAAGGAGTGTTCCCCTTATCTGAGAATATCCGAGTCAAAGTTCCGAAGAAAGACGTTAGGAAAACAATAACACTTCCTTTTTTATGGAGAAACGTCATGACGCCGGACCATTCGCAGATAAAATTCGCGTAAACTAATGACATATTGTAGGAAGGCTTCTAGGGGAATTCCAGAATTGAAGGTGAGGGGAAGTTCAAGTGTGGGATAAATTCTATAACAGCCTTACAAGGAAAAATGGCGAGAACCAGTTATTTCACCAGTAAACCCCGTAGTAATGGAATCATCATCTACTTGGGCTCATCTTCCCATATGTGATGAATAATGAAGCAAAAAAGGCAACGGGTACCTTGAATTCTTTTTCTGTCTACCGTAGTTCGTTGTTTCCGTTTTTCTATTACTTCTACAAACGATTTTATGTGCTAAGACCTTGGAAAAGGCTGACTTCTGAAAATAATCTGTGCGACCTAGATGCAAACTATCTCAACCAACTGGATGCTCCTCATCTAAGTGATTAAAACAATTCTCTTCAGATTTACTGATGATTACCAAACAACATAACAACAACAATCAAAATCAACAGACTGACTTTCCTTTTTCTAAAAATCAGTATTTGCATTTTTTTCGCAACTGCATGTACCACAAGATTGCTCATTGCTAGGCTCAGCTGCGACTGTCACCTTTTTCGGCTTCTGAAATAAGAGTGATAAGATCAAGTGGTGCCTGTATGTTCAAAAACTTACGCGTTTAACGCCCAAATCTGTTCTTCCAGTATTCAAACCTTCCAGAAGCAAGCATGCTTTGCATATTTTTTGACTTGATATATATCCGCATCTAAAAATTCTGCCTCATCACAGAATTCACAAATAAAATGAATGAAAAAACCTAGTGCAATTCGTCAACGTTGGCATAGATACTTCTTCTTTTACTACCATAAGCTCTCCAGATTTGATGAGACCCAGAATACATTCAGGTCGCATTCGCTCCAAATCTTTTACAAATGATCTGAAAAACTTTAAGGTTATTCATATACGTAGACGAAGTCAAGAGCTCAAAAAAAAAGGCTCATGAGATCTTAGTTTCACCAAAAGATAGTTCTACAACTACAGCGCACAGTAAAGGGTTTGTTATTTGAAATAGATAATTACCTCGAATATGCACGATACGAGTCAGGAGCATATATGCATTCCGTGTAAAAATAATCCAATTTGTTTAGCCGCGCATACATCACGATATCTTTCTCGAAGCAGTACTGTAAAAAAGATTAAAAGCAAAAACCCAACATTATCAGTCTATGAATTAATTGTAGGTACTCAGTGACAACGAGATGATGAGCAGCTTTGAGCTTCTAACAATGAGCTTTGAAAAACGCTTCCAGAAATCAGCGCGAAAAACATTTTCGTAACTAATTGTAAGAAGCAGATACCTTTAGCGGCTTTACTCGTGGGAGATCACCTTCTTCGCCAGTTATGATATTGGTACACCGTTGAAGTCTTGCGATATCACCTCGTAACACATTCATCAAAACGGTTTCTGCCATATCATCTGCATTATGTCCGGTGACTAACTTGGTTGCGCCAACTTTGTAAGCACCTCTAAACACTGGAATGACTCCTTGTCACAAGAAAAAGATTCATTTTTGTGATTCGAGCAGATCGATAAGGTATTATGCACATTTGTATGCCTCACATATTTTCTTACAGAATTTGTTAGCACAGAAAACCACCTAGCAAAAAGCTAAGGGGAAAACTAGTTTAATGGAAAAAATAAGCTGATATGCTCAACATTTTGCGCAAAACAACCGTACAGCATAGTCAAGTATTCATCCCTCGTAAGAACAACGAATTCTCAAGTACCTGTCCAGCGCTTGACGTCGGAACACTCCGCAGAAAGTGCAGTTGTTCTTTTTTCCTATTTTTGCAACAATCTCATCCATTGTCCAACCATATAGATCTTTATAGCTGAGTACCGTAAGAGGTAAACAATATTCGATTCGATTTCTTTCAACTGCCTGTTACGGAATTTGCATGATAAAAAGTTTAGAAACAGAAGTTCAAAATGCACCTTCAAGGAGTCATCGCGATATCCTTTAATCCCTTCATCAATCGATATCAATATCAAATCTAAGCCATAATCATATCGTTCGTTCAGAGTCTGAAAAGCATACGGAAGATCTATGAAATGAGGGAAACGAAGGATTATCAGAGGTCCTATGCAGAAAAATCGTATTAGATGCGCATCAAATAATTTTCACCTTCATAACATAAGCTAACACTGTGGAGTCCTTTCCACCGGATGCACCGATGGCCACTCGCTCTCCGCGACGAAACAGATCTGTGGAAATTATCGTTTCGTGAACATGCTACAAATCAGTACAGCAGGTTAATTCTAAGCCGCGAAAGATTGACGATACCTGCTCAAACCCTTTGGTGAAGCATTTCGCACATAATGGTGCTTCATCAAGTGCACGTTTCACAACGGCTTTCGACGTACATGCTTCTGACGAACACTGCGGTGGCGGCATGCGGATTACCCTAAACGTAAAGAAGTATGGTTTGACTAACATTAGCCACTATCCGACATTGAATATTACGCGCGATTTGATGCATATTCCAATAAAGATTGGAAATACTAGTTATTCCATTGAAGACTGGAAATACTAGTCAATCTGAAACTTTCTTGCGTTTCCTTAACCCTTTCATAATCCACCTCAGAGTGACAAATCTATCGGGTGCGGAAAAAGTACCCGCTCCAAAATAATCCAGAAATTAGGATGATTTTTGGGGTTTTTTTTTTATTCAACATGAATGCCAAGAGAAAAACACATATTAGTTCCACAAAACTTCGAACTCAGAAACCTGGAAATCTTCGCACGGTTTTTCCCTATTCACAGCCTATACCGATATCAATCTATACCAATCTTTCAAAGCATGACTCACGGAAACTTCATCGTTTTTGATAAGAATATAAACCCTTTAGTGCTTGTGAAAGGCAGAAGTGACTGATATATTTCAAAACTGGTCAGTCTGAAAGTGCACTAGTAAGTAATCGTGGATACTCTCATGATAAAACTGCTGCGGCGCATAGGATAAGATTTAAGTATATGACACTGATTTTCAAGGAGATCGTTCTCTAGCATGCAGACGAGACTAAAAGTTTCGCTCATCGTACTTGCTCACTGCTTACAAAAGTACTGGAGTGCACAGCATAATTTGAGTCCAACTTGTAAGGCAAGAACAGACTACTTTAAAGCCTTTGCGAGTGTTTTCGCACTCCGTTTGAACTCTGACTTTCTTCATTGGGCTGCAATACCGAATCATTCATAAAAAGGATAGGATGCCGACGAAGAGGTTATGAATATGCAAGTGCTCTTATTCAACCACACGCAAATACGCGCCGCATCATCGTAATCCTTATTGGATTACATCCATTTAAAAAGGAAGGGGAAGGATCCAAGAAACTCAAAATAATTCGATCTCAATGGTCTCGGTTATTTGAATTGGGAATTGGGAAACCACAACTTTAGACTAATAAAATGTTTAGGAGGCAAATTGAGAGACGGTACTTCTCCGCCCCTGTAAAAGAATGCATGTGAAAAAAATAATGCGCTTTCTAAACATGCTCCGAAAGCTTTTACGATAGGCAGTTTCCGTGGAAAAAAACTCTTGCCGTATTTAATCGCGCAAAATTACGTCTTCTTCGAGGCCTCGTAATTGTCGACTAGTGCGGCACAATAATGTAAAAAATCATACATGATTTGTTGGAAAAGAAGCTTATGCTCTACTTCAAAAAAGGTCACAATTCGCGATTTTCATAAAAATATTCATTTTCTGTTAAAACACCATTGAAAATAAAGATTTTTCAAGAAGATCGCCAACCAAGATGTGATAAGGTGATCGAGAAATAAAAAAAATGCTCCAAGCGTAAGCTTTGCCGTAAAAGTTGTTTTATAAAGGCAATGCTCTACTAAACATACTAAATTTTCCTTAGGTGCTCTTTTGCGAGATATAGTGTCCATGAACTCAACAACGGCACTCTCGGAATGACCTGATAAAGTAAAATGGAATGATAAGTAGTTTTTAAGGCGCAGACTTATAAGGCTGCTGCATAAGTTCTATCCGATCTGAGATTTCGGGTTCAAATGTCATAACTTCCTTGCAAGACTTTTTTTAGATGATCTTAGTCTTGTGATGTGTTGAGTAGTTCTTTGGCTATCAAAGAAATATTAAGACTTGCGCAAAAACCCTGTTAATGATGAAGCGAGAACTTAAAAACTTCACATATTAGTTGATCATGGATAGATAGAAAAATTTTCGTAGATTATTTTGCTACTTGGAATAGATCATGTTTTTGGTGCCAAGAGATTTTCTTGACCGAACAAAAAAGAAGCCGCTTTTTGACCTCGCTTCAGCACACGTGTGCATGCCTACTTACGAATTGTTAAAATTTTACACTTGACGCGAGCGGTGAGAAGGAATTGGTGGATGGCCCAGCTAGCTCTTGCTTTATTCTAGCATCTCCACTTCTGAACTCATCGACTGCCTCTATTCGCAGAAAATTATTGCTTTGAAACATCTACAAAAGATGAATGTTCGACAATATTTGCAGGCAAGACGTTTTCTTCATGAAATCGAGCATGTGCATACATTAGCCTCTTACACCCTTATTTGGCAACCAATGAAAGGACTTGACTTAAACGGCGCATTGTGGAGATTTTTTGCAACAACATATCTCTCATTGTCAGATGAGAAAGTACCTTCGGCTGATTGGGGATCTTAGGCCTGCAATCTGTTGGACTGGTTAATTGATCGAAATTTGATATTTATTAGAAATAGCAGAAAAGAGCTTCCTAATAATGCCAGCAGTATCGCACTAAATGTAAAATTCTCTTCGAACGGTTGCTTCAAATAAAAGGCAGAAAAATCGGACAGTACTTATGCAGCAGCCTAGTACTTCGACTTCGACCTTATTTTCTGAACTATATAAGCGGGTTGCAAGCTTTGACTCGAGCTTTGGTGAGCAACATTGACGGACCAGAAGAACGACCGTGAAAATGCGATCGAAATGGTTGGTCGATTTTCTAGCGAAAATTTGATTCTTTAGTGTACTAAAATGATGCTGATACTTCGAAGACCAAACTGAATTCGTAAAAAATTTCTGCCACCCCTTCGCCTTTCTGTAAAAAAGTGTTATAAGGTTACGAAAAAATTTTAGCCTCTCAAAAACCGTGCTGGCCTACTATGGTGCGATCGAATATGATGCGATCTTGACATTTTGCAGTGTGAATCTTACCAACGTAAGATAATTGCAGAGAATTCAGCTTCATCGTTACAGCCTACGAAACAAACAAACAGAAACGCAGTTCAAACCGCAATGGGAAATGTACATAATATCGATTGTGGTTATTTTCCATACACTCATCACCCGTTCAACCGTAAATGAAGGCGATCATTGACCTGAAGCTGCGCTATCTTGGGTAAATGCTTTTATTCCGCTAAAAACTGAAGGCACCACGGGCAGCACAGACTGTAATGCCTTTGAAAAATAAGGTTTCAATGATTACTGATACAAAATTGTAGTTGCTTCCAGTGCCTTGTATACAAGAACTTTCAGTCTTCGCTTCTAGTGATAACTAGCTGCACCTTTATGTGGCGGCGCTCTTCTTAAGCATCCCTCTAACTAAGCTATAATCTACATGTTACACCGGATAATAAGTCTTGGACCACATTTAAAAAGCGACTATCACTAGCTTTATTCTTATCTGAACCATTCATACGTAAGCAAACACAGTGAAGTAGACCAGGGCCTGGCACCAGCTGGCACGGGGCAAGCTGGATATCGTTTTTGGGGCAAAAAGCAAAGGGGGTTTCGTTTTTGTGGGCGAAGACACGTCAAAAATTGGCGACCTTTTTTTCGTTTTTTAGTCGACGTTTCGTTTTTGGGGGTAGAGGGGATATCGTTGAGCATCAAAGGGGACTTCGTAAAATTTTGGGAAAGTCAAAGGGAACTTCGTTTTGAAAATTTCCTGGTGCCAGCTCGTGCCGAGCCCTGAAGTAGACTGTATATGCTTGAGGCATACTGTGTAACCAAGGCATGATACTTTGGCATCGTTCTTTGCAAAGAAAACGTCAATCATAAAGTGACCGAGGCAATCATATATGGTCTCCTTTCTCTACTTTGGTGGTTGCTGGAAAGATTACTGCTGTGCCCTGCAGTGTCAATGCTTTCTTATGCTATTTATGAGAAGTCTCGGAGAGGAGAAAGTGTATAGGGTTCGAAAAATCGTGATGATGGCGTGGCGCAACACGCACGCACTTCTGACACCGCAATTTTTTACTTTTCATCTCTACTCGACTTATGATTTTAGATACTGGAAGTGACTGAGCTGAGCGTTGAAGTGATGCTTTTTAATGATTGTTTTACGCTCCTGTGGGTGCAAACACCGCAGTCATGTCTAACAATTTTATGAAAGACCTACACAGTCCTAACGGAGGAGGGGGAGGGAATGTCTTCAAGTTTTGAGTAAGAATAGAAATTCTCATTTCAAGGTCCTATTTTTCAAAGGAATGGACGATCGTAGGTCGAGTGGATTCTTTGCTTAATATAGTATGCTCGCAACGCCGAGATGGTGTAGTGAAATTTGCGCGTAACAGATAGCCACGCCAGTGATGTCGACATTTTGCGCACAAGTTGCCGGCATTACAAACATAGCTATATGTCTGTTTCACGCACAAATCTTGAGGAAATATGTTGTCACCGCCGGCAGTACATTAACACACTACGACAAGTCATTTTCGATGAAATTCAGACCAGACCATTTTGCAATGTCAAGATTATGGCCTACTGATAGGTCTTATTCGAGACTGGTGATATTTCAGGAAGAATTCAATATACAGAAGTTCGGCCGTTTTCGGAACCGAAATGAAAAACCACTAGGACCCAGGTGAGAACTGAATTTTCACTTACCTTTGCTACAACAGATGTGGCCCTTAATTCCGATTAGCAACGATGGAATGCAGCAAAGGTGAGCTAGGATTACAGAATTACTTAGCGAATCTGTCCCTGCAACTCTACACTGAGATGAACAACTAGTACTTTCACCAATGCTAAGAAATTCTGCTCAGAGAAGCCTAAGTAGAAGTTCTAGCTGTTATTATTCAGAAACAACCATTTTTGTCTGAGGATCCTCAAAAATCAATCTTGCGACAGTATTAGAACAGATGATGCTGAATATAGAAGGTCCAGCTATGTGACTTGAAAGTGTTTAGAAAGATAATAGTTCATTACTAAAAATCTGTGGTACAAACTTCTGATGTACAATGCTAAAGAATCAGCAGACTGATGCTTGGAATAATGGGAATAAGTTATAGAATATCTAGCTTAGAGAATTTCACGGAATGAAGCCACAGTAGCTTTCCAAGAATGCACATTACTGAATATTCCACAGTTCCTCTAAAGAGAGTACCAGACGAGCACGATCACAAGCATGACAACATGAATAATTGAAATAATCAGCAGAAAAAAGTAGGGTAAGTGTCACCCTGAATATAGACAGTATCAGAGAATAAGCAGCAACCTTCGAGGACTAACGAATATTATTGAAAGTGCAATCACACCGCTACGTCTGAGTGTGTCATTTGCCGTATTGCAGTAAAGTCGACAAGAAAATGATGCATAAACAGCGTGCACACTATGTGCAAAAAGTGCTGTTGTTCAAGCTGGATCGCCTGCGACGTAATAGAATTACTTCCATGCTGGAATATATGAATCCACTACTAAGGTTCCGGTGTATTCGAAGCTGATGTAGTTTTCAAGCCCAGCACAAACAGCAGGAATGGACAGCCATCGGACATGAGACGAACTGTGGGCGCAAAATGATTCAACAACTTCGTCGACATATCACTGTGAGGGAATATGTATAGAAGACCACCGGTGACAGTTACAACTCCTATAATGTTCCACTTGTACGCTAAACACTAATAAGAACGAAAACTTGAAGACGAGAAGAAATCAAACCTGCGGCGTCTTTTTCTGTTAAATATCTAACCAACGGTCGTATATCATCAAGTTGCTTCCCTACGGCTATCATAAGGCTGAGCTGCTTACTAGATGAGTTCGTCAGCCTTTCCAAAAGGCCTTCTTGGCCGGTCAAAGCCAGTCTATAAGCTCAGACTTTTTGCTCGTTGTTACAAGGAAGAACAAGAAAAATCATTTCACCTCTGGGTGACATGCAACTTCACTGCATTCCCATCATCGTCGCGCAATAGCTTCTGAATTAGTCTTTCCGTACCTCCAATTCTGTACAATCTGATACTATACTCTGTCTTCTTCAAAAGGACCTAAATTAAAAAGTCAAGTTTTACTGACAAATGTTAATTTCGCTCAAAGCTTACCTGCCCCTGCCAAGTAGTGGCATACTCTTCATCTAACTCCTCGAAAGACTTGACCACAGGCTTGGGAGACCCTGGAGGAGTTCGGGGACCTCCCGGAGGAGATTTTGTAGCTCGTCGTTTTCTCCCGAAGACACTACCGTTACTGTCTTTAGTGGTGTCGTCTCTACAAGTTTTCAACTTACAATGTAAAAGACGGTTCGACAATCAAGCGCTAACGGATTATTTTCGCAACCCTTACTTGGCAAAGTCGACCATTATACAACGATCCCTTCCACCTAATGGGAAGTTCTTCATGGCTCGGCAAGCGTCAGTTGCCGCGTTAGTATCCGCAAATCGTATGTAAGCAAACTCAGCACCGTCCTTGAATTTGGAAATAGGAAATAATATAGGTTCCAACTGATGCAGAATTTACAATAACAATCGTCTATCCCACGTCACTGACCTCATATTCAAGGTTCTCAATGGGACCGTACCGATCGAATTCCTTTGCAAGAACGTCGGCACTTGTCCAAGAACCGAGCCCACCAACCCAGAGACGACGAGAAACCTTTAACGATTTACGAACAGTCATGGTTTATTTTAACACATATTCGAGCACCATCACTTTCACGAGGGATTGGTAGTCAAAACAAAGTTTTTATGGAACATACCTGACTCTTGCCGTATCCAATCTTGCATCGAACTGTACCAGGACGGATCGCACGATCGTGTTCCCGATGTTTGGCTTCCATTGCTTGCTCCAAAGTCTGAACACGTTTTGCTAATTCAGGAACTTGCTGAGTTTAGTGCACAGATGATGTTTAGACATTCAAATTTGACTGTTCTAACTATATGCAAATCCACTGTGTCTGACATAGGCAAAAGATACGCTTCACCATAATTTCAGCTATTTGATCATATTGTTGCCATTCTATTGCTTCTGAATGGCGCCATGCTTATCTACTTCTGTGTGATGTTCCCACATGCACGAAGTTACTATAGTTTCTGCCGTGCCGCATTGAAGTCGCTTCCTAAGCAGCACGGTATATATTTGATACTAGTTGGCAAACCCGGCTCCGCCCGGCCCTGTCGATAACATATTTGTAATCAGCATGCTCGATTACCCCCCCCCCCTGTGCCAACTCCCAGCCCCGTAGCTCAAATTTTGCAAAAAATCGATAAAATCGATATCGATCGATAACGAAAAGTAGCCTATGAGCCCCGAAGTGTGTGTGTGCCAAGTTTGGTCCAAATCGGTTCAGAAATAAAAATTTCTATTTTGCACATACGTACAGACATACAGACAGACATTCAGCTTTATAGATAAGATATGCGCGTGCCTCGACCCCGACAGGATTGAGAATAAGTATGGCGTGACCATAAGCGTACATAATCCGCAGTTGAAAAATATGCTTCAATCTGGTCCTTCCTATATCCCTAACCAGTTATGCAAACTTAAGCGTATCGCTGACCTGGAACATCACAAATGCATACGCAGCATCAGTATTGGCGGGAGTTTTGATATCGATATCCTCAATCTTTCCGTATCTTTCGAACACCTACAAATTGGCACAGTTTAATTTCGTCAAACAAGCCAGTGATCACAGATTTATAAACAGAATATATATTTACGATTGCGGGACCAGAACGGATGTTCAGGTAAAATTATGGAAGGTCAAAATTTTCAAAAATCTTCTCCGCTTTTCCGCACTGCAGCACCCTTTTCAGGATACAGAAGATCGCAGTCACCTGCTATCAACTCAAGCTATTCAATCACTTCAAAGATTTTCCTTGATGAGGGTTTAGTGGAAAATCGCTGATAGCACAAAACTACCTTTCGAATCTCGTATTCTCTAATGTCCGACGGCATGTTTCCTACAAAAAGGGTTCTGGTTGCATCTGCATCATCTTCTTTCAGCCTCCATTGTGGTGGCTCCTTTGGTCGAGCTCTACGTTCCGGGGAACGACGTCCATTTCGTTCTTGCTTCAAAATATGTATGCGGGAAAATTCATTATCATCAGAATAATATAATATTTAGTGGTGAAGTAAGTAGTCTATACTAGCAAAATCATTAGAAGAAATTGATTTTGAGTCATAAACAGCTTTCAAATTGGAGGGTCAAGAAAATGTGATTAACAGCGTACTATGGATCCTTTTTGGAGGATCAAAATCCAAAAAAATTTTACAGACATGCAAGAAAAGCCAAAGTTCCGCTTGACACGTTTCGGAACGGTGCTGGACATGGTGCAGTACGCGGCTTTGAGGGATCTTTATAACATTCACAAGAGGTTCTCATTTGGATTAGGGTTATCAAGTCAAAGGCCTAAGCTTCTCCTTCTCGAAAAAGTGAAAAAGTGTGTAGAGCTGTGCCCCGATCTTTGTTTAGGAAATATGAGGACAGATTGAACAACAGTTGCAACGGAGTGCGGCAACGCGAACGATGCGTGCGACGTCGCAACTTTTCTTTGCTTTGATATTGAAAAGAAAAACCATAGTTTTGATAGTGATGTGTACCGTGTACAACACAGATACTTTTGGATATATTCGAAACTGAGTTCTCGTTCCTATCTCTCAAGAAAGCACAGAAGCCCTTCTCAAGCGACAAAATTTAAACACTTCGAATTCACTCACAACCTTAGGTGTGGAGCTTATCTGATATGCTGATTACAGACATAGCACACAGTCTACGAAATAAGGTCCCTTTGTTGGCTAACGGCTGAAACTAAAGTCTTTTTCGCCGCGCGCGATTACGCGGTCCGAAACGTGTTAATACCAGTGCGTACTGAGGGAGGAGGGGGGAGGAGAAGCGGGAGGATGGGCGCCCACCCCCCAAAAATGGGTTTTGAAATTCTGGAATGATACCTACATGAGTTGTAAAAATGTGCAAATGACTTGTTCATACTTGTAAATAATTAAAATAATTTTTAAAATCCTTTAAAAATTCAATTGGGAAGCATACCAAAATTTTCGGATCGCGTGGCTGATCCCACGCCCCTTCATCAAAAAGAAATTTTTGGCGCGCCTCTTCCCCCCCCCCGCCGAACGAAAATCCTGGGTACGCCACTGCTTGATACACAGAACCTCCCTCCCCCCTCCCGGCCTCCCGTTGCGGGCAGAACGGGTACCGTGTAGGACAAATCTCGACAAAAGCTATCATCGGTTCCTAACCATAACTACTGCGCTTACGGATGTACAAGATTCTAGCATTGCGCAGCATAACAGCGTTTTGAAAATTTTGTGTAATCATACCTGCAGTGCTCGATTGAACCGATCGGGAATATATTTCCCCTCCTGATCACGAAGAATTCCAGCTGGATCACACAACACGCGCTTACCAAGAGCTTTCTTCAGACGGTCCATAATACTGTACCTGTAAGACAAGAACCATTCCGTTTCTGATCACCAGCATTCGAAGCATAGCTTCTCAAAACTACTGGAAAATCCTGCAGAATGCGCCTCAACTAAGCATTGACCAGTACCGATTGCAAAGTAAATTTTATGTCGTCAAACCATACCTCACTTTTCTTGCACAGTCCCTCCGCTCAAAGTTCACATATGCCAGTCTCTCGTCATCACCGGGATTACGCACAACTTTGATCTAAACAAGAGTTTTGAAACCAAGATTACCAGAGCATTGTTTTTCATTAAAACGTTTCCCTTCACAGAGGATGCTACGGTATGACACATGCTGGTGGCAGATGAGTAGTCTGGCCAGTATGCAGAGAAAGTTACATCATCAAAGAAATAGTAGCAATGAGCTTACCATAGAAAGCAATGATGAGCTTGATATGCTTGACAATCGGATGTTTTCTAACACTTCTTTTGCTCAATGATGCGAAAAAATGCAATCAATTCATCGTTTTCCAATTTATGTAGACTTTAGCGTCCCTAATGTATAATTTGAAATTCACGTCCATGGCCGATATGCCTGCTTTGCACATAAAAGGCAGGAAATTTCGGATGCTTGCCACGCATCCGCTATCATTCAGTGTACTTGTTCATATGTTCCGACAGAAAAGTCCTCACCTCTATGGAACAAAAAAGCTAGCAACTCAAAACATATGATGGGAAAGAAAAAGAGGAACCGAGCGGAAACGACTTGAAATTGATTGGCTTTCCAGGTCACTACATACAGCTATTGTAAATGAAGAGCATTGTAAATTGCTCAGAAACATTATAAAATGGAAAAGCAACTGCGAAGGGATGCTACTGACCTCGAAGGGGGCAAACTTTCTGAATTCAGCGGTTAGTATTTCCTTTATTTCATCCCTCTCCAGTTTATCGTCAAAACCAGAGATCCTCAAATTCATGTATTCCTCAGGTGAATGGCTTCCGAATCGTTCCCTGGAAAGATTTTGAATATTGAATATGGTAACGTTTCCTAGCTGCAGATGAGAAAATACTCAAACAAAAGAGTTCATATGGCGTGACTCAATACCTGTAGAACGCCGACAAGCCATCACTAGTACTGCGAGCGGTAGAACGACCACGAGTTTCCTCAGAGCTGTCAGACCGATATCGGCTCATTACAGCTGTGAAACAGTAACAGTAATGATGCAGTAATTAAGTGGAAAATGTACGATTCCGAATAGCATGCAGTTCAAAATCCCTGACAGTGAGAATAGGCAGCAGCAAGAATAACAAGCAACCCGTCATTTCTTCTTCAGCTAAACGCACCATCCGAAAATAAGAAACCAGTCAGCAGCGATCGCGTGAAACTTTTAGTAATTGAGTTTCATTAGAAAATACAACCTCAACTAAAACTATTCCAGAAACGACACAGCATCAAAATCGACCACGACTGCGAGCAATTAACATGCAGCCAGCTCGCAGCCGCTGCGCGGCTCCGCATGTTGCGCGTCCTCATCGGAGCATGATATGGCCATTGAGCGCGAGTGTCATGCGGCTATTGGTGACAGCTGCACTGTCACTTAACTCCACCTGTCCCATCCCGATATTCACATAGAAGATAAGTCTTGGCCATACCTCACGCGATTTCAGTCGCCACGTGATCTGGCAGTTTGCCAAATGTGTCTTCAAACCCAACACTGGCAGATTGCAAATGCATAGTTTATGCAACTATAGGGCACAAAAATCGTGACGATGGCGCGACCGCGCGCGACACACCCACCGCCCAGCAACCGCTTTTTTTGGTTTTCATCTAAGCTTAGGTGTTTTTCTGCTCACGCATAATAGTATTCAGACAATGGAAGCGACTGAGCTGAGCGTTGAGGTCATGCCTCTTTGTATGAGTGTTTTAAGCTCCTATGGGCGCAAAGCCCGCAGTCAAATCTGTCGTCACGATTTCAAAAATGACCGATACTGTAGACTGATAATAAGCCCTATCTTCTCCACATTCAGAATGCTCGCACGATGAGTTATGGACAATTGGAGTATTGCCAAATCGCGTGAGGTACGGCGAAGACTGTAGAACCGAAAAAGGGAAGAAATTTCTGGTCACCATAACTTGACCTTGACATAGAAATCATTTCAGCAACAGAATGGAGAGGCGCTTCCAAATGAGAATATTATGAAGATTCATGAAGAAGCGGGTAGAGGCTAAACCCAGACAACCGCATTTTAGCGAGGCATGCGCGAGTTGTTATCCAGCTCCGGCGACAAAGATGCTTGACCGCTGCATTTTCGCCGCTTCACACATGAAACCACCACTTTCGTCAGGCTAGCGTATAGCGGTGTTTGGGCGCAGCTGCAAAAACACTTATTTGGCAATAGTTTCTCAGAGTTATATCTATGTATGCAAATAAGACGAAGCGAAAGAAGTGGGAGTTTCCTTTCGAACCATATAAATTCACTGCTAATAGATTTTGTATTAAGAGCAATGCTGCTCGATTACTAACTAAAGATCTGCCATATCTTATTTAGCCGCATTTACCGAAAGATGATAGTTTGACAAATTTTTGGTAAGCTGTTGGAATGGTTTTGCTTCCCACATTTGTGCTTAAAAGTTCAGCTTTCCACAATACAGAATGTATTGGGTTGTTACCTATGTCTTGTTAACACATTGACGACCGCGCCATTTTGTGCAAAACTTCCACTAACGTCCTTCGCGCATTTGGCCCGTGCATATGCGCGTATGCACGAAAACATTATCTGGGAGTCTTTTTGACCTTTATTCATGAAACATGCGAGCTTTATTCAGAGACTGTATACCACAGAGTGTTACCAGGACTTACACAAATCAACGTTCTTGCATCGATTTCCCCTCCAATAACCCCTCCAAGGGCTATATCTGAGGAATCCCTCCTCGAGAAAAGCGTTGTAATACCAGGTGTTTTTTGCTTGATTCATCCTTGTTTGCTTTCAAAACAGCTATACAGAGTTCCCACCAGGGTCAAACGTGCTGATGCGATCCGGGGCCCTCATTTACGACCCACCCCCTAAAGGTACCCATCCGTACGATTTCCCCCCCCCCCCTCTCCCCCTCCCTCCTCCACTTCCTTTTGTGGTAACCTGCTTAAACGAATGTCAATTCCAAAAGATGCCTGCCAATGGACTTCAGTCAAAATTATAGGTCACAGAAAGATAACTACTTACGAATTGGGAGATAGTGCAAGTAATGCTTCACCACGCATAAAACAAATAATTCTACGTAGATTGGTTAAGTAGTAAAATTTTACAAATTGGCTATGCTTATTATGGGAAAATATGGATGGAAAGGACATCATCTGACAAAGCAGAACATCGATTTTGTTTTGAATGGTATTTAAGCTGTACTCTACCTATAAAAATGAAATAAAATAACAACCAAGAAAAATTCAGCAAAACGGAACGGTTCTTTAGTCATTATGATTGACTACTTTATAATAACTCCTTTTCTAGTGAAGATTAATAAACTTTTCTGTTGTTTATGAATGTTCGGCATAATCCTTTCATGGTCCAGTAGTACCGAAGAATATAGACTATGGTTTTGGAAGTTAGAACGTAGACTTTAGTGACAGTCTCGTGTTCTATCCCCGTACGCGAAAGTATTTATTTGCAGGGAGAAAAAACGGTATCTTTGAGGCGTAAAAAACGTCCTCGACTAAAAAGCTTACTTTCTATCTATTGCACAGATTTTTCTGCGAAAAAAAAACAGTTTTAGCGCCTTACAGAACGATGTCAAAAACGTGCATGTGCACGGTATTTTGAAAATTCTTAACTAAGATCAAGAAAAGGCTGAGAGGCTGTAATGAAAAGGCTGTGTAGTATTGTGCCCAGGCTATCCATGGAAAAAGTTTCAGCCATTGAGGAGCAGTGAGCTCGAAAAAATCTAGATGCGACTCTCGCAAATTTAGATGCGATCCTAAAAAGCAGAAATTGGGATTTTTGAGCTTGAAATTTTGTAACTCACCGGAGAAGTTCTAAAACTGCCTAAAATTTTTATGATAGAAAGTAGAAGGATGGCCTCGTAATATAGCAAAATTGCAGCAAGCAGACCTCCATAGCGGAGAAAAAATTTAGATGCGACCCAGATACGACCCCCCTTCTTCCATTTTTTGTTGTCACATATACAATTTTTAAAAAATCCACAGGCTATGAAATATAACCAGATCCTGCACATTTGTAGCAGAGCATCTCCAAAGTCAGGTAAATTGTGTGGGCCCTTAAAGGACATAGCAAAAAAGTTTTAAAAATTATCGATGGTCATTGCTGATTGAGCTGAGCGCTTTTGTTGAGAGTGTGAGACTTCAGTGATGCTTCGGAACCAGGATTTCTAGGCCAATTGGTACATTTAACATTCTTGCCACTCATACATGCCTTTGAAATCTTCGATCATATTTGTGGCCAGCAAGTTGGATACCCGTCTGCGATACCTTTTTTGCAGCGAGAAAAATGCTTTTTAAAGGCAGTAGCTCGGCAGATTTTGCATTTCCATCTTTTTGCATGCTTTGGGCCTTCTCGACCCGTAGATCCCGAATCTGAGCTTTAAAAGGGATGAAAAGGCCTTTTTCGGGGCGTTTTTTTCAATTTCCAAAAGGCAGCTCGGATGGGAATTTTCAGGAAAGTCGGGAGGCCCTGGCACGAAGACCCTGCTGCCTGTAATTTTGGCTTTGTATAGCATGCACAATGCGGGAAAGCGGTTGGGGGGTCCCGCGCCGTCTAGCGGAGAATACTCGTCCGAACAAGGTGTTAGGGGAGCGAAAGGAGGAAGGGGAGAGGCGCTTGCGCCGCCCCCTGGCTTGCAGAGTTCACATTTTCGGCGCGGAGTTGCTGTTTTGGTTCACTTGGAGGGCCTCCTATCCATCTGTGTCAAAATCTGAGGTAGGTCAATCTGCCGAGCCGCTGCCTTTAAGAGTAGAGAATGTTTGTAGGGAAGCTTATTTCCTACATTCCACACTTTTTTGATTCGGACCACCCTTTCCGACCCCCCCAACCTACCGCCGGTGCCCTCTTTACGACCCCCGTTGCGACACTCGCATCACATGGTTGACCCTGGTTCCCACCTTCTCGGAAAGACGTAATAATTAGCATGTATTTACTACATCAAAAATGGAGTGCTGAAAAGCTGCCGCGATGCCTTGTGTTCTTCAAGACAGTTAGGCCAACAGTAGTACTACTGCATAGAAGTTGCATTAGAACTTTTCGATTACATCTAAAAAACTAGCGTGCATATGCGAGGATGCACGAAAATGCTAAACGGGAGTTAGGGCATGCATACATGCGGATGCACAAGGTCGTCAACGTGTTAACTTTAACTTCTTACGAGGATAAGGTACATTTCATAAGTTTAATAAGGCTCCAGGACACCATTCGATAGAACAAAGCAAGCTCTACAAGATGGTTCGCAAAAGTTCGCACTAGCTTCAACCCGACGTAAGCATGCATACGATATCTGAGTCGTACCGAAGGGTCAAAAAATTGGAGTAATTTATATCTTTGTTCAAAAAATCCTACGAATTGCCAACTTATTCACACGAATTGCACACTGCCTCATACATAGGTATATATATACGTGCCATTGCTATATTTTTTCCTCGTCTGGAAATCGACAAAACGAAAAATTTCTTGTTTTTACAGGAACGAAGCTATGCTGTTACTATTCATGTAGTTGTATACTATAAGCCCTCAATTTTCGGCTTTTCACAAGTCCTAGTTTTCGAAAAATACCGAAGTTAGCTTTTCCACTCGGGTGTTCAATGCTAAACTCGGTATATTTAGAAAGCTAGGGCTTGTAGAAAGCTGAAATTTGTTATACTTCTAAGGGTTTGTGGTAAGCAATTACATGAGTGAAAACGGCAAGTTTCTTTTTTGTAGAAACAAGAAAATTTTCGTTTTCTCGATTTCTAGATGGGGAAAAAAGCAACGGCACACATGAGTTATGATGTAGTAGTGTGCAGTCTGTGTGATTAAGTTGGAAATCCGTAGAATCTTTTCTGAACAAAGATATGAATTTCCCTAATTGAGCCTTCAGTATGATTCAGATACCGGATGCAAATACGGTGGGTCGAAGCTGGTGCGAACTTTTCACATTATCTTATAGAGCTTGCTGGTCTTTTGCTCTGTCGAATGGTACCCTGGAGCCCTATCAAAATTATGAAGTTTACGACTTATCGTCGTAAGAAGTTAAGTTGTACAAGACTTATGTAACAACCTAATACGATTTGTAACAATCGTTTAGGTCAATTTGGAGTAGCGAGCGTCCGCCTCACGACAGTTCGCGCTGTTTGACACACCATGCTTGATCCACTTGATCCAATTCACTGCGATGTTGGTCAGAAATGACCAATAGCGAAGTCAAATGGTTAAGAATAATTCAAGTGGATTAATGGCGCGTGCTTTTCGTAATTGCAGTACATCATGTCATCGGGTTAAACCCTTGTCTGCATCTCCTCATTCTCTTCGATTTCTAGTTGAAATTGTCAACAAAGTCTTCGGTGAAGCGGCGCGCTGCTTAATGTCATCCAACTGAAACGAACTGTGATCACTGTTTGTGTCCGATGAGTCCATCGCCGCATTGTCTCTCGAGTTACCAATCTAACCTTCGCAAAAAAGGAGACAGGCAAACTCCCAACTACGGGAATGTCGGTACATTCTCTGAGATTATAAGATCACGATTTTATTGTTTAGAGGTAGTCTTAAGCTTCAGTAGCGCAAGGAGTTATTTTTTCTGATGGCGAGTGAAAGGGAAGACTGTTTGCGCGCATTCTGGAAAGGGATCATTTTTTAGAATGTTGAAAGTGTTTACATGAATCCCTGAAGTTATGCAATATATTTCTACCCATAAATAGTTGGAAGTTTGACTTGTAAAGAGTTAAGTTGGTCTTGTGTAAGGTTTTTCGTGAAGCTGTAGTCACGCGGCTGTCTCTCGAGTTACCCATCTAATAATAAGTTCGCGAAAAAGGATACAGGAAAGCTCCCAGCTATGGAAATGTCTAAACATTCTTTGAGACATGTACATGTATGTAAGTCAAAAATTTTTAAACCATTTTTGGAGAGCTTGGAGTCTCCATCACACCTCTTCAGTCGCGAAAAATGTACTTGGCACTTAGTCCAGCAAGAAAAAAATTATCGGATCGTAGTCGCATCAACACCTTGTCGACCTTAATAAAAATTTTACTATCCTCTCAATCATGAACTGCTTACATAAGAAAGAAAAAGACCGTTTAGTTCAAGTGTTAAGAAAGCATTGTTCTAATCTGTAGATAATCACTCTCTTATACATTATGGAATAGGGTTCAGGAGATAAAGAATCTCTCTTGTTGAATGATCTATGAAAAAGTCGCTTTTAATATTAATGTGCTTTTCAGAATTCAGATGTCGCAATTTGCTTCTTTGCTCCTGCTCAGTCGTTAAATAAAAGCGATGGCAATGCAAATATGTTGAGAGACGGCTTGAATTACCATTTCCGGAATAACGCAAGAATGCCCTAGGTAATCGTAAACGATTTGAGTTAATGCCTATCTCCTTTGATGTTCCATATAGTCATTCTGTGCAAGCTTTTTGTCAACGTATTCTCCGTCACTCTGCATGTGATTTTGCTTCTCACAATTACCTGCACTCCATCGCTCAAATGCGGAGGCTTCGACGAGGTGGGTGAGCTCAGTCCGAGAAGTACTAGGTTTGATGAATTAATTGAGAAGCAAGTAAGTTAAAGGCTTAGCTCGTCTTTTTTATTGTTAGATGTTCTCAGCTACAATCAAACGCCTCGATAGATGCCAAATAAGGATAAACAAACATGAAGTCGGTCGATCACAAAGAATTGTATATGCGCATAAAAAGATGGAAAACCCGTTCTAATTACAAAAACTGAGATTTGCTGAGGAACACATCCATCTCGATTATTATTCGCCAATTATATGGGTCCTTTCTCCCAAATGTTTTGATTTCTGAGAGAAAAATACGAGAAGCTACTTTGCAAGATAGGCTTTTCCTTGTTTGTTCGAGTTGATGTGGACTGAAGATAGATGAGGGAGAGAATACTAATTTGCTGTATGGATTGCCTTGGATCTATCGACCTAAAATAGTCTACATCTATAAAAGTGCCACATTCCTTTGACAACACAAAACACTCGCTTACTTAATGAACTTAAATAATTGTCTTAAAAATATCAGCTTTTGCAGGGCTTCTCAAAGGTAATTTCCAATCACTTTTGCTTTCTAATGTGTATCAATATCTAACTGCTCTAAATCAATGGTCGCCATCAAGTAATTTTTTTTATAATCAATAGTATTAAACAAACCAACTTCTAAAACAAAATGAAGCATAAGCGGATCCTGTTAATTCTTCGTTCTCCCAAACTCGCTCCTAAATGTTGTTATCATAGGTTGTGAAAGAGAAAGATTGAATTTGCCGTTAATTTTAGACGTGAGCTACCACTTTTTCGGAGAAGGAGAGAAGAAAGCAAGCCTTTAGAGATTTTGCGTATCAACACACCTTCTGAAAATTTTGGGAACTATCCAGAAAGTTCAACAAGTTTGACTTGGAACAGAGAAGAAAGGAAGGCATGACGTCAGTCATGACTCTCGAAAATTCCTCGAGGTCAATCTAAGAAAAAAAGGCTATGAACTGAAAATTTACTATGAGCGACTAACTTTCAATCTTATAAAGATATGTGACGTTTCTTTTTGTCACCCATTTCCCATCTATGTACAGGCGATACAGGACGCAATGTTTTAATCTAGCGTAAAAAGCTGGTTTAACAACTGCCAAATAAATTGAAATTCAAAAAAAAAACTTTCAAAGCATTTTGCAATTCTCTGCTCGAATGTGATCTACTCAAAGAAATATTTTTAGCTTTTCTACTCGCAAAACATGGGCGATGTGGTGGCAGTGATACTTCGAGTAATTACTAAATTCGTGCCCATATTAGTTCTTCGCAATCATACTGGCGTGATTCAAGTGGACAGGGACAGTTTCGTAAGTCACCTTGAATATTTGGTGATCGATGTGGTCCTGAAATATTTATCTCAAATTTTGTGTTTGCAGCCCTTGGCCACATTGACAAATGCTGCCGAATGGTATACCAACTATGTAATAATTTTGTCAGCTTTGGTCTTTGGTGCAGATCGGGCGGTGATGGCGGTTTCGATAAAATCGTATGCCTGGGTAAGTATAGTTAATGAAATATATAAAATTCAAAAAATCGTGACGACAAATTTTACTGCGGACTGTCCGCCCACAGTAGCATAAAACGCTCATACAAGAAGGTATCATCTCAACGTTCAGCTCAGTCACTTTCAGTGTCTAAATATTATCACATGTAAGCAATAAAACCATTCGACTACAAATGAAAACCAAAAAACGCTATTTCCGGAAGTGGCGTGCGGTCGCGCGCGGTCGCGTCATCCATGATTTTTCGAATGTCGTATACACTATGACTCTACGAGAAATTAGGGGAAGTCTGATGCTAAATTGGAACTTTTTAGTCATGCAACAGAGTGTTCAAGATCTGCCTTGTCGTTCTGACTTGGCTTGTTCCACTGGCTTGGGTGTTGCCGATGCTGGACCCTTGTTGTCGTTCACAATATTTCGACGAGCAAATTGATCTTGTTGGAATGGAGCGACATGAGTTTCGTTGCATCTTTGATAAAATCACTTCATTCAGACTTCCTTAGAAATCCTTCAGAAGCCATTTTGTTGAATAATTTCTTTTGATTACTATCTCCAATTCCAGGCCGATTCCATCTATGATGCTATTGACATGCTGTTCGAAACACTGTTTTACGTGCCTGTATTGTGCATGTTGAATGGATTCACAATGATCATGCTGTACAGTCAATATAACACCATAAAAAAGCGGCACGATCTGAAATTCAACTTGGGTTAGCAGTCCAGCCCTCGATTCTTTTACGAGTATCTGTTCAGAGCAATATCGTCTTCCCACTGTGGAAGAAGTGTACATCAGATGCGGAGGTCCTGGACCAGTCGCTTTCCTTTCTTCCAAGCAAGAAAAGGAAAAGCGAGAGCGTAAGTTCAAGAGAGAGCTTCATAGAAATCAACTTATACATGTCCTAGTGTACAGAAAGCTCACAAATTAGTAGTAACATATAGTAAAAGAATAGTGATAAATAATAAATAAAATAAAATTAGTCGAAAAAGTCGCCGAACTCCAGTGGAGAAATGAGTCAATGAATGAGCACACTGACAAGGGAACCGTGTCGAGTCGAAGTGGCCTTTCCAGATGAGACCCATACTGCTTTGAAGAGCATCAATCGATGATTCCAAATCTGCTTTCCAAATCTGCCAAGCACCTCTGGGCGCTGAGTTATGCTCGTTTTTCAGGTCGAAAAATTGAACACAAAACTGAAGCAAAATCGCCCAAATATGCTCAAATGGTCCAGTGTCAAGTATCAGAGCTGTTTATGCAATGGATACATTTTATTTATTATGCTAATACTTAACATTGCTTTATCAGAGCGCTGGAAAGATTGTAATTATCAATTTTACCTAAATTCTGCATTCATTTTTCGTTCCGAAGAACGGTCATAACTCGGCGTCCAGAGGCGCTTGGCAGATTTGGAAAGCAGATTTGGAATCACCGCTTAATACTCTTCAAAGCAGTATGGGTCTCATTTGGAAAGGCCACTTCGACTCGACACGGTTCCCTTGTGAGTAATCTACCGTAGCCCTAAGTACTGTACCCAAACGGGCACTTACAGGGAGCGTCCAGGCAGAATGACTTCTATTTTTTTTGTCTTATCCAGGCCTTTTCATGTCGCTGATTCCAAATGTAGCACTAACCCGTAAATCCCTCAAAAAACCCCATTGTGACAATCTTGTAAGAACTGTGGACGAATGCTCCTAATGATGTTCTTGTCGAAAGCAAGCATTAACAGGTTGACATCTCGTTCTGCGCTCTTTTACGTTGCCATCTTTACGCGGAAGTGTTTTCGGCAACATTAGAACACTACCTCAATCCTCAAATCTATTAGAATCATAGCAGAATAAGGTTATCATCTAAATAGCTTTTTTGCTATTTGAAATCTGCTCAAAAAACCAAAAATATAGAAAAGGTGACTTGTTCCCTAGTTCTTATTTGTCAAAGATGTCACAAGTTACTACCATCCGAATATGTTCAGACCGAATGCTGCAGCGATTAGACGTGGAGCTCTCATTTGCAATGATTGCAATCATCGATCAACAGATTGACTTCTTTGCTGTGCTTTTTTACACACTCTACTGGGCTGGCTACTCTCGTGAGTCTCTTTGAAAGTTACAAAGTGCTATATTCGGGCAGAAATAGATATAGTTTGATAGATGGAATTAGACAAACTCTTGAGGGTTGCTGCTTGAAGCTTATTCGAGCAAATCCAAATAACTGAGGTTTTTGGTCCTAATGAGAAGCATTAACTGATTCGTAACTGAAATCCAGCACTAAACGGCAGCCTAGGCCATGCTTTCTGATGTATCCGAGGATGGTGAGGTTGATTTAGTTTACTGTTTGGGAAAGAGAGGCGAATTTGTCAGCACTTGAGAACAAAATGAGCTGCCGCTGGAGCTATGGTTTAGATAACAGTCAGGCCTCCCATTTCATATACACTGAAGAAACCAAGTCAAAATCTATCTGTTCGCTATCTTGATTGGACGGTGCCTAATATACTTGGGTAATTCGATAATTTTTTTAATAATTTATTCGATAATTCGAATGAATGAATATCGAATAAATTCGAAAATAAAAAATCTCGAATAAACGAATATCGAATAAATTCGGAAAATCAAAAATATCGAATGAATGAATTTCGAATAAATTCGGAAAATCAAAAATATCGAATGAATGAATTTCGAATAAATTCGGAAAATCAAAAATATCGAATGAATGAATATCGAATATATTCGAACATTGGAAGTCGAATTTCGAATAAATATTCGAATGATTTATCGAATATCTAGAGCAACCATATCTCAAATTTGCCGACATATCTGGCTCAATACATTACATCATCGAGTACATTCGAATACGAATTCGAATAAACATTCGAATAAAACATTCGAATAAAATCTATTCGAAACCTCGTTTCTTGATTATTCGAGTTTTCGAATAATATTCGAAACCTCGTTTTTTGATTATTCGAGATTTCTAATAATATTCGAAATATTATTCGATTTTCGAATTTTATTCGAAACCCTGTTTTTTGATTATTCGAGTTTCGAATATTATTCGAAAATGGAAGAATTCGAAAATCGAATTTCGAATACGAATATATTCGAATGTTTTATTCGAATGATCGAATTTCTATTCGATTCGGACCCAAGTATAATGCCTAAGGGCGAGAATGTATTACAGAGACGCTAACCCTCAAAAGTGCGAGTCTTTTAACACATTCACGACAATACGACCCCCCCCCGGTGGGTCGTACGTGTCCTGCCGTTTCGGCCAATGCGATCCACCGGTGGGTCGTAAGATTCCTGAAGCTCTAGCTTTGCCTGTAGCGATGGAAATCTGCAGGGTTTTGGCACATGATTGGGGACACCTTGGCGAAGCTCCAGCCAGAGTGGTCCGGGTTCGGGATACTGTAAAGTAATGTTGCGGTAGGTATACGGTAGACAGATGTAAGGCACAGACTTTTAGCTCAAATTCTTCGCAAAATGATGCTGTTTCTGGAGAATCAAGTTTACATGTAAGAGTAATACGGGGCGGGCAAGAGGCTGACGTTAGCCCACCAAAAAATTATCGATTTTATTGATTTTATTGATTTTTGCACATTCTAGAAAGCGAGTTTTGCACATATAGGTTTTGTAGCATGCTGATTACGAAATGATAGTCTCAAGTTTTCATACCACCTTCTTACATCAGTTTTTTGATTTCTACGAAAATTCTACCGTACTGCTACCGTAGCTCGACTGTGGGGCAGTAGTGAACAAGGTGGACACTATAAACGTAATCAATCACCACGTGAAACAACTTCAAAACACAATTTTTCATGGAAATCCATGGTGCTGGTTTCGTACAGGATGACTACCGTAACCTTACCGTATAACGCCAGAAACTGAAATAAATTGTCTTTTGATAATCAGTACCTTCGATTACCCCTCAAAAAAAATTCTCGGGGACATGTTTTGAACTTTTTCCAAAAAGACTACCATTTTGGACAATACAACCCACGGGTGGGTCGCAATTTTGACGAAGCGAAAAAGGTTCTGGTTCGAAATGGCAGTAATCGAAAAATCGGCCTTGTCGTGAATGTGTTAGAAGTAGTTTAGCGAATGACGAGTTCCACACGACATATCGGTTGAATGAGCCAAAAATCAGCCACCTAACAGAACAGAGTGAATAGATTTGTTTTTTAAAGAGATTATTTATGTTAGTTTCTCCTAGCAGCAAGTTATTCCGTTTCTCTCATAACCTTCAAAAGATATCTGCAACAGCCCTCAAAATATGTTATCAGTGTGACTAATGGTGATTTTGTGTACCACCTTGCCTTTGCAAGATGCATTAAAATTGTAACAATTACCGCAGGTTTCAAATTTTGAATTCCAAAGTGTTAAAGGCACCGTCCACCCAGATTCTCGTCTTCCAGGTTTTTGTCGTTTCAGGGCCTCTCATGTCCCTGACTCCGAATATGAAGTCGAGAATCCGCGAAAACCCCGACAATCCCCGTTCCGGAGAACCCACAGGCCGGCTTTCCGGAACGGCATTGGATGGGCGCGCACAAATGGGCGGACATGGATAGGAGAGGGCGTGCATGAATGGGGGTCCTCGTGCATCTTCGTTATTCCGAAGCGATTTTCTCGTTCCGAAGCGACATTTTGCACTGCGAGCTGGGCATTGGCTTGATAGGAGGCCCTACTATCATATGCTGCCGAAAGCTCAAGACCCTCAACTTAGCGTGAACGGTGCCTTCAAATGTTTCAAAACTCGGTACATTTAGGAATCTTGAGCTCTTCAAAGTGATACATTGAGTTACTACCTGTGTTCTATCGAGAAAGAGAACAAATGTAGTCAGATGCGTCTTTTCTGCTTAACAGTTCCCATATGTTCATGCCTTCTACGGAGAAAATCCATAAACTTTCACTTGTTGAGAGTCATGATCATAACATAGTTCCTGTTTGCTCTTTCTTCCAGTAAACAGCTACAGTTCTTCGACTATCATTTTCTGTATGCAGTCGCTGTCAGATTTACTACGACAAGCTTATGTTGTTATATGTAACAGTTATATGCAATACTGCTATATGTGTCCCAAACATTGTAGTTTGTTACTAACCCTCTCGTCTGATAACCTTCAACGTCTCTAGGTAGCACATTGTTGAGCTGGCTATCAAAGCTAAGGCCAGCTCAACAATTTGCTACCTAGAGACATTGAAGGTTATCACGAGAGAGTTAATAGCATTGGATTTGAATCACTTATCGCATACGGCATGAACTTCCAGTCCAACAAATTGCAAATCAGCTGCCAATTCGAAAAAGTCTAAAACATCTATGACTCTGCGGAGGGATGTCAGACCTGCTAGCTTTGGTAATCAACTTTCTCCATGCTTATAGGATAAATTAGGAACTAATCAGACTTTGATGATTATGGAAAAAACCGCTAACACAAGCTACATCTCGTCTCTTCCAAGCTAAAGATTTCATGAAGCGAAAAGCTCACACAAGAATTAAAAGTTTCAATCAACCTGCTAACAAGATTTTTAGCTTACTAGCGACCCTAAGGGCCGCTTGCAAGTGGGTTGGGGCAATACAATTTAGCCGTATGATTGTCAAGACATTTACACCTACGTTTTATACCTTTCAGTTGTGGGCAACACGAAACTGATTAATCAATGACTTTTGACTCTCCTCTAAATATAAGAATCTCATTGTTGATAGTCGATATCTTTTAAGTCCCTTCTAAAAATTTTCTTTGGGCCAAATTTTTCCACCAACCTTCACTGAGAGTCACCAAGCAGTCGATTCTCAGAACAACGATGTAGTCTACAATACCTCAGCTAAACTGAAAACATACTTTAGTGTCCGAAAAATTTCGGCAGCAAAAACAAGCATTGTTCTCATGCCCTGCGTGTTGCTTACAGACCACTTTTTTGAATAAACCCTGCTCCGCGTACCGCCTACAGAGCGACATACGTAAGAGCTGCCCTACGATTGTCCAGAACGGTATTTCACGAGAAAAAGCTTTCTTACGGGTTTTCTACAGAGTTATAACCTGAGAAAGTACTGTCCTCTGAACAACAATAAATGATATTACATTACATTCTGGGATAAATCTGCCACGCCCCCTGCACACTAATATTGCGAGGAAGCGGTATGGGCTGCTTACAGAAGAAAGAAACTGCCCGCGAACGGTGATCAGTCATTAGAAGGGCCCTATGGGCCGCTTACAGATCCTTACTTTGAAGAGTAACTGCCCTGTGGGCTGCCTACGAACCGATATTTTTCAAAAAAAACTGCACATGAAAAAGAAGCCTATGAGCCGCTTGCGGTCCTTCACTTCGAAAAGAGGTTGCCCTATGGGCCGCGCATAGACCGATATTTTAAGAAGGAATTGCTCTTAAAATCTTCAAATTAACCTTTAAAAAATGCCCAAAGAGCCGCTTGGACTACATTTTCAAGAAACAACCGCTCTGTGTATACCACAAGCTAATATTTTGAGAACAAGAGAAGCTCTGAGGCTGCTTAAGACATATCTTTACGTCCTAACTAATGCATCAAAAAATAACAGCCCTACGCTCCACTGTAGACCAGTAACTGTAGGAAGAACATGCCCTATGAGCCACTGAAAGACCAATGTGTTAAGAGGTTACAATCCCTATAGACCGATGTTTATAAAAAAATAATTGCCCTATAAGAAGCTTATGTACCGGTTCAGAAAGTACACAAACCCCTCCCCTGACCCCCAACAAACCCATACTTGAGAAAAAACTGCGCTAAGGCCGCCCTACAGACCGATATTCGGAGAAAAAGCTACCTTACAACCATTCTCCCCCCCCCCCCTCCTTCCCCCACGGACCAATAATTATGAGAAGGCGCTGTCCTATAGGAACCAGCCCGATATCCTAAAATTCTATTACCCTAGAACCCCTACAAACTGTACTGCCGTACGAAGCGCTCACATATGATGTGCTCTATGGAGCCAAAGACCGAAGTTCTGATCGAAGAAAATGGAGCTATCAGCTACTTACAATTAGATACCTACACAACGGTATTTCGAGGAAGTGCCCTTGAAATCCATACAAATCGATATTCTGTGATAAAACTGCTTTACTGGCCTCTTACAGACCAAAATTCAAAAAGAAATGCCATATGAGATTCTACAGACCGATATTTGGAGGGAAAAAACTGCCTTATGGGCTTGGAAGAAGCCGCCCTATGGGGGGGAGGGGTGGTTGCAAACCGATATCTTGTGAAAAAATGCCCATGGGCCTCTTGCAGGCCATTATCTTGGTAAGGAACTGCTTTATGAGCCGCTTACAGACCGGTATATAAAAAACATCTTGAAAAAAATTGCCTCAAGAGCCGCTCATAGATCAATATTTGAAAAAGAACCGCTCTGCGAGTCCCTTATAAACAAGTATTTGTGATTTTCCAGTATCCAAACAAAAAAATAATAATGAATCGCTCACGATATTCACGTTCATGCAAAGCAACTTTCAAAGGGACTACCCTATGCGCCGCATACAGACCGACTGTTCTAGGAGATGCTCTGGCCGCTTATAGATCAGCATCTGAGAAATAATTTTGCCATATGCGAAGCTTATGGAACGATAATTGAATGATTTGTAGAAAAAACTCGCTACGTGAAGCTTACAGATGCCGATCAATACTATTAACAGAACTGCCTTACGAGCCCCTACAAATCAAGAAAGTGTCCTATGAACAACTACATTTATTGAAAGATCTACCCAATGGACAGCTAATAGACCAGAGTTGTAAGAAATGATTGCCCTTTGAGCCTTAGAGACCTATAAAAGTCGCTCTACGGGCCGTTTACCAACTTTTATTTCGAGAAGAACAAAAAACTGTTCTCATCAGTCCTCACCAATTATGAGCAACCATGAACTTTGACGAATTACGGGCTGCCAAGAACTTTAGCAGGAAGATTAGAGTGTGAACAGTTGAAGCGTAAACGTTGAGAAACTACTACAGCATGTTTACGCAAGATACCGAGTTCCCAAGTCATACATCCGAGTACAAATTTGCGAAAGAGGGGGGGGGATACTGTTAGCAACCTTACGAGAGTGTCGGCCCCTTCCCGACTATAGCCTTTTTGCACTCAAGAACCGCACCCCTTTTGGACGCCTTCCTCGAAGACAGTCGATATTTACCACCCCCTGTACTCCTACGAAAACACGCTAGCCTTGTAGACAATCTGCACCCTCCGCACCCTCGGCAATCACTCGCCTCATTCCGCAACTTGTCAACATGTAAGTGCAAAACCTTGCCATTCTTTATTATAGAATGATCGGACACTATTTTTGGGAGCAGTGTATGCTTTCATTGGCTGAGAATTTCAAAGTTTAAGGGAAGATTGACAATCCTTTTGATAGCAAATCTATTGAAGGCCTTCATCATGTACCTACAGATCTGTGAAACTTGTCTGAATAAGAGCCAGATAGAGTTAACTACTGTTAAACAGTTGATTACTGTTCGGTACATTTCGGGACACATTATATATGCTTCAATAAGCTACCGTAATAAGTTTGCAAAAATAAGAAGTTGATAGAGATGTTGATTACAAAAACGGCTTTAAGTAGTTCAATTTTATTGAGCTATGAGGTCAAGTTTCCAAAATTTTGTTTATATAAAAGAAAAACAAAACAAATGACCGTTTGAAGTTTCCCCCAAAAGTCAGCTACTCATTCACTTTTTAGGCCAAGAAGTAAATTATGATAACATATCTGTGTCACGTAAATCTGAACAATCGAATTTTGTCTAAAAAAGTGAGGAATACCAAGCAACAGTATGGGAGATTTTTATATCATTTCGTCAAGCGGGTTGATATGTACAATTTATTCCAATTAGATCTTTTGGGCTTCCATTTTATTCTTTAGAACTTTCAGACTTTCGTAAGTATGGAATTTTTCCAAGTAATGCATAAGCACTCTTCAGAATCTTATAGTGGATAAATAATGCTGAAAAATGGTAATTATTCCACAGCGTAATTGCGTAGCCCTCAAATTGTTCCATAGAATTTTGTAGACAGACTATGATGTGGTCAATCGGCCAGACAATTTTAACCTCTAATGTGCTATTTATAAAATGCTTATAGATTTTATCGACATCGATGGAACGATTTTTCTGGAAAGCTACAGCATTCTCTTCGAGTTCGGAAACATCATAAGCCCTTACATTCTGCTATGTTTTTTCCCGGACATACGAAGAGAAGTGTTTCGTCACATCAGACCTCATTGCAGAAGCCATGAAGACGACGTTGAAGAGGGATGAAATGGTGCTACGGAGAGATAGCATATTCTGTAGACGCTGTACTTAAAAATACATTGTATGTATTTTTGACGTGATTCTGCACAGATGTATAAATAAACATATAGGATCGGTTCGAATGGGCAAGCGCGCTTCACCTACCCCCTTCTCAAAATAAATCGCGAAATTCTCAAACAAGCTTAATAAATGTGCTTGTGACTTGTTTTCATTTTTAAACATCCATCTGACAAGATTTGAGGGTAGTTATAAGGGAAAAAAGAAGTAATCTGTAGAGCGAAATAAACTGCAGGCTTACTTGGATCAAGAAAAGCAACCTTATCTGTAAAAATTTTCTCCGAGGTTTTAGGCTCACAAGAATTTCTGTCGCACTTCCCCCCCCCCCCCCCTTTACAAAAAGTTCTTGGGCAATGCTATATAAAAGGAAATGGAGATAGATAGGAAATATATTCGTCAAAAAACAAACCATGTCATCAAAAGGCTGAACTCTACCTTTTTGACTTTTATTATGATGTGTTTCGTCTTTTTTTTGTGTGAGTGTACAGTTCGGGCTTTCACCGGGTCTTCTGTAAGGAAGAAGATCTCGGGAGAACTACAAATAAGTTAACTTTTATTTCGATGTAGTACCTGATTTCTGCAAAAATGATGCCTAATTAGTTATGAATAAAGCTGAACCTGGACGGCAAGAAATTGTCAGAAAATGAACTTTTGATAGTGTTAACAAGTAAGGGACTTCCCGACAATCATGCGGCTATCACATCACGCAATAACCCGTTGTTTGTCTCTTCAACTACTGCGAATACCAGTTTGGATCGCTGGTCGCGGAGGAAAACGCGCAACATCAATGAAGCGAACAGTTGAGTGTTGTTCTGGTAAACAAGCCCCATCACCCCACACGTCGATTTGCATCTGCAGTCAAGTAGTGAGATTTATCTCTAACCATGACCGCTGCATAGCGGGGCACCTCGTTGTCCCGTTGTCGCTAGCGCCACCGACGTAACGGTTTCCGTGTGGGGCGTTGTTCGATTGCCAACTGGAGTATTAATGTGCGTGTGTCAACTGGTATGATAGCCGGTTCTCAATCTGACTATATAAGGCGGCGCTTCTGAGCTATGACATCCAAGCCAGCGGCCATGGATTTGGACGCTCGCATCAAGGCGTATCGCTTCGTTGCCTATGCGGCAGTTACCTTCTCCGTTGTTGCTGTCGTTTCCGTATTCGTCACCCTTCCTATGGTGTACAATTATGTGCACAATGTGAAACGACAGGTGCACAATGAAGTCAACTTTTGCAAGGTGAGTTCTAAGCTTCTTGATCTTCCGCAATGAAGCTATTTGGGTATTCTTCTAAAAGAGCCCCTAATCTTCTTCCTTACAGGGATCGGCAAAAGACATCTGGACAGAAGTTCACTCCATCAAGGACGTGCCTGCCTCCAACAGAACAGCTCGTCAAACCTACAACCAAGGCGGTGGTGTCGGTGCAGGCGGCGGCAGTGTCGGCGGAGGCGGCGGCGGTGGTGCCAACTACGGAGGCTCTATTGCAGGTGGCGGTGGCGGCGGAGGCAGCTGCGAAGGCTGTTGCCTCCCAGGACCCCCTGGACCTGGAGGTACTCCTGGAAGACCGGGTAGACCCGGAAAGCCTGGAGCTCCCGGTATGCCTGGAAACCCTGGAAGAGCCTCTGCTGCCGTTTGCGAACCTGTGACTGCACCTCCCTGCCAGCCTTGCCCCGCTGGTCCTCCTGGACCTGCTGGAGCACCTGGAGCACCGGGACAACCGGGACCAGATGGACAACCAGGAAGCAATGCCGGAGCTGCTGAACCTGGACCTCCTGGGCCTCCTGGGCCACCTGGAGCACCTGGTAACGATGGAGCACCCGGAGCGCCTGGAGCTCCTGGAGCACCAGGACAAAGCGAAGGAGGAGGACCTGGCGCCCCAGGCCCTCAGGGACCACCCGGACCTGCCGGTCCACCCGGAAGCGATGGAGCACCAGGAGTTGGTGGAGTTGGTCCTCCAGGACCTAAGGGACCACCTGGACCAGCCGGTCAACCCGGATCTGCTGGAAATCCTGGAGCACCTGGAGCTCCTGGACACGCTGGAAGTGCTGGAGAAAGAGGAATCTGTCCCAAGTACTGTGCCATCGACGGTGGAGTTTTCTTTGAGGACGGAACTCGGCGCTAAAGCGCTACTCATCTTTGCTGCAAAAGTGCTGCTGATTTACAATACCTCATAGAAATAAAGTAGTTAACTGCATTTGTGTGATACAATCTACCTTCTCAATGTATGAAAGAAAAGAATTGAACAGCAATCAAACTTCTCAGGTCAAAGGTCTTGAAATAAGATGTACTCATAAGCTTCGAGTCATTCAGGTAGCAAATTTATCAGGGCCTTGAAAATCATTCCGCACAGCGCAAGAAATATTTGCATGTCATCTATGAACATATTAGGTAGGTTCAAAAGTTTTGTTAGTTTCTTGAAATGACCCACAAATCCCGTAAATTAAACAAACATTTTAAATCGCATTTGACGCAGAATTTTTTCCGCTTTCCACCTCGTCCTTGATATGATTAATTCATAAAATGTTGAGATAATTTCTAGAATATATAACCCTTCGTTTTCACCATGGCCAACTTTCGTTAGTTTTCGAAATGTTTATTGATACTTCTGGAGAGTTTTGATAGCCAGCAGATAGGGCAAACAAGTGGAGCATTTTTTTGTAGCTTTGTGACTTATCTTTCATAATTTCTAAAATATATTCTTAGAAGTGACCAATTTTATATTTGGTCTATCTGAATCTCGTAGAATATAGAAGGGCAAAATATTCAGGAGCCATCCGATGCAAATTTTTTTCCTCTTGTCAATAGTTGTCTTTTTTTGACAAGACACGCGAAATTTCCGAAAAAATCCGCCGTATTTCTTAAATTCACAAGTGCGCACTGACGCACCCTAAGTTTCGGAACCCTCATATTTTCTAGCGGCCTCTCCTTTGTAAGGTTAGTGTAAGTAATAATCGAATGTTGAATCCTCGGTGTTCTAAAGTTTTTGCTTTGGTGCAATAATATATTATGCGAATTTTTCAAAACTTTTAAGTTTTGGAAAGTGATTTAGAAAAAAATCTAAAAGAGTAGCTAAAAAAACAAAAAAACCGCAATAGTAATATTAATGATAGCACCAAAAGAAGTTAGTCGGCAATTGCCCTACCTACTGGTCATGAAAGCTCCCCCAAAATCCTCAGAAATTTTTTTTGGAAATTAGCGAAAGCTGGATATGGTGAAAACGGTGAGCTGTAATTTCCAACGATTATCTCAGCATTTCTTAGTGAATCACATTGGGAATAAAGCAGCAAAGAGGGAAAAGTTTGCATTAAATACATTTGAAGAGTTTGTTTATTTCGTTCTATTATATATGCTGGTGGATTCAAAAAAAAACTGATAGAACTTCTGGGCCGACTTATATAATCTGTCTAATGGAAAATTTGCCTACGCAAGCATTGAAAGGTCTGTGTACTTTCGAGAGTACACATCTCTTTCGCCCCCCCCCCCCCTTCACCCATCTTGCCTCTAAGCCAGGGCTCAGCACGTGGTGGCATTGCGAATCTTGGAACGAAGTCCCCTTCGACATTGCAGGAATTTACGAATAACCTTTTGTGACTTTAGAAATAAGAGTCATAATTCAGGGAACGATGGGTGGGAAGTAAAAATAAACCATAAAATGAATAAAACAACAAAAAGGCGAGAAAGAAGAAGGTTTTTTATATTGTCAAGTGCCGTAGCAAAGCAGAGGGGTCGAAATTTGGGGGAAAGTGAGTACTCATAGATGAAGCTTGACCTGGGGAATAGATTTGTGTAATTATAAATTATATGAGGAAAAGGGCAAATTATGACTTTGTTCGGTCTTGCGCAATCTCAGAGTGGTCCCAGGTTGCGCGGGAGCAACCTAAAATAGAAAAACACTTAGAACTTCATTCACATGATTGCTTCATAATTTTCATATTTATCTTTTTTTCGACACCGTGAAGCTGTATACCAAATTTGATGGCTTAATATTGCTTATTCGTTGTAAACAAATTGATTGTTTATCTTTTTGTATGAAAATCGTGTTTTAACAAGATGGGAATCGCCTGAACACAGGTTGGTGCACTAGTCGTGTTTGTAACATGTTAATTGACCTGTTAGTGGTTGGATGACGTTAGAGGTTCAAATTCGGGCTTATCATGTGTAGAAATTGCGCTTGCTATCCTATCGGATCGGAATTTCCCCTGAGAACTTTACTATTTCCCTTTTGTTTCATCTTCAGAAAACGAAATCCAGCCTGTGAAGGCGCCACTTCTGCTGAGCCCTATTCCAAGCATATAAATGTGCCGTGCGCCAAACTTCTTATAAAGTTTTCTAAATCAAATTTCCATATCTAAATTAGCGAGTGACCCCTGAACCGTAAGCGGGTCGCCGGGCTCTTCTTCTCTTCTTCTCTTGCTCAAATCCGCGCTCCCGAAGAAATTTCTAGGACCATCGGAGGCACGTAGAGTATAGGTATCATGTGCATTGGCTTCTGTAGATAAAAGAGATGGAGTCTGTGCATCTATCAACTGAGTAGTATTTTTTATCGAACTGTGAGATAATGTACAATTTCAAACTGAGATACGGGAGTGAAGTATCATAATTTTGAACACATTTTGAGAAACATTTGGCTTACCTCGATTGAAGGAAATACAAATTGCTTACATTTCTGATTGTTGAATCACGCCCTAGAGATCCACATACATCGAAATGATGTAAAAGAAACACTTGAACTGAGGACGAATTTGACAAAAGGAGGCACTTTGGAGCAAATCGCTGATGAATGAAATGGAAATGAAAATCAAGAAAGACGGAGGGGTTGTTCTGAAATGAAGAAATGTCAAAGTGTGGTTGGTCCGGGTTCACTCATTGCTTGTCTTTTCCTTCTCTTTCCGCTCTACAATAGCGCCCATGTGAGGAGGAGTAGCACCAGGAGAACTTGAAAGTGGTCACGACCATGTGACGACATAGCGGCTCCATTGCACATTGAGCCTCGACATGAACAAACGCTGAAAACAGTCTTATGAGTGATCCACAAAATACCCCTGATCTTGATTCGGCTGACGCCTGCGGTTGCTCGCTGACATTGCTCAAATGAAAAGCGTGTCGGGGAATGATTGATCACGACAACTGCGATCAGCGCAGAAGAGATAATGGCGCTGATGGCGCTAATTTAACAAAAATGAGCAGGTGCTTGTATTTCTAGCAGAGCTATCTGCTTGTTTAGTGGCTAGTTTACAGACTCCTCTTTTGGTAAGCGCCGCCGACAGGGCCCGGCATAGATCGTCTGGAAGCAGGCTGGACTTCCTTTTTGCCGCAAAAAGCAAAGGAGATATTGTTTTTGACGAGTCGGGGCCCAGAACCAAGAATAAGCGCCATTTAGTCGAATACAAGCTTTTCGGACAGGTTATTACACGAATGACATGCTCTATCGTGCATGGCGAAAAGTGGGCGAGATTTGAAAGCAAGGCTAAAATAAACAAATTGCTTGTTTACAGCGCACATAGAATCGCTTGACACTAAAATTGAACGGTATACATTGCAAATTATTTGCAAAAGAAATATGCAAAGAGATTTGAAAACTTGTTATGAGAAGTATTACCTTTTCCGAAATTATTCTGTCTCCAGACGGTCACCAGACGATCTGAGATCGTCTGGAGCATATATTTCTGTCACATCACGTAAGTTTTGGATTTTTCTATCATGGACGGATTCCCTGGTCAAAAATCTGTGAGCATGAAGACATTTTCATATCATTGCCTTTCCTTTGTTTTTTGCCTTCATTTCTTCATATATCGTTTTGTGAAATATCGCGCTCCAATGCCAAACTTTTGTGCATGCGTAGTATTCAGCTCCAATTTGGATTTTTATTCTTATCTTACGTTTTTTCTTTCAGACTAGTAAGTCTTTCTTGTTTTCATCTTCTCCTAAGCAAATAGGTCAAAGGGGACTTCGTAAAACTTCCGAAAGTCAGGGGAGACTTTGTTTTCAGAAACCCTAGAAACCGACTCGTACCGGGCCCTGGCCTCCGACCTACAAATTGTGTCAGTTATGCGCTCCTTTTGCGTACATCCGCAATGCGAGGGCCTTAGGTGGGCACCTTCGACCAACGATGCCAATTCAGTACAGTCGGTTTCATCCCGGATTAGGCGGAACATTTTACGTGAAGCAGCGCGTGCGCTCCTCACGAGGCTTCGCGAGCGCATAGCGCTAACATTTTGCCAAGCAAAGATTAAGGAGAATAATGAGATGCAGACTTGGGTTCAGCACGATATGATATACTGTAGCTGCGAAACGGCGCAAACCATTGCGAGGCGGACGCCAGCATTACAATTTTCGCCTACAGAGGGGTCGAAATATCGTCCTCAGAACATAGCGCGGACGTGGGGCCAGAATTTGGCGTTTACGCCGACGGAGGGAGTAGGTAATTGACTCAGGTTGTGTCTGTATTCAAAAAAATTTACTCTACCATGTACACTCAATACAAGGAAACAACGCGTAAACAACAAATATTTCCATCGAGAAGTGTAGCTAGATGATTCTATAGGACACTAGCTGGCTTACCCGGCTCCGCCGTATATTCCGAATAGAAAATTCCATTTCTTAACCGATCCGGACCAAACTTGGCACACATACACTTCGGGCCCCGGCGGGTGTCATAGGCTAATTTTCGTCATCGATCGGTGTCGATTTTATCGATTTTTTGCAAAATTTGAGCTAGCGGGCTGGAATTTTGCAGAGGGGTGTAATCGAGCATGCTGATCACCCCCACGAGGGTGATCAGCATGCTCGATTACCCCCCCCCCCCTGTGCGGGGGTGATCGGCATGCTCGATTACCCCCACGGGGGTGATCAGCATGCTCGATTACCCCCCTGTGCCAAATCCCAGCCCCGTAGCTCATTTGCAAAAAATCGATAAAATCGATATCGATCGATGACGAAAATTAGCCTATGACACCCGCCGGGGCCCGAAGTGTATGTGTGCCAAGTTTGGTCCCGATCGGTTCAGAAATGGAATTTTCTATTCGGAACATACGTACAGACAGACATACAGACAGACAAACAGACATTCAGCTTTATATATAAGATGGAGAAGGGGGGGGGAGGGAGGGGCTAACGGGGATGTTTAAGTTTATTATAAAGCTACTACCACATCTTGTGTGTTTGATCCTGCGCCGTTTCAGCGTCGTGCTAGCTCCGTGTCAAAACTGCGCCAGTGTGCGACTACGATCAGTGGGTGGTGGGCTGCTTCCCTTCGGTCCCAGCATGGTACTAGCACGACATACAACAACAATGAAACAACGCTGGAACGGCGATGGCACGGGCAACTCTGGACGCAGCCTAAGGACTGTACTATTGAACATTATATCGAAAGTATTCTGCAAATAGTATCTATAAACTTAAATTACTCTGTGTCTACCTTCAACGTCGTTTTATATGCAACATAAATAAAATGTGATTACCGTGCCCTAGAATACAATTTAGCCTCTTTCTGTGAACAACTTATCATCCAGCGAAGCATTTGGAAACATTATTTCTTTCTATTAGGTCATTCCGAAAGTAATTTCGCTTTTTTCAAACGAGCGCCACGTTTGATACAACAAAGGTTTTTGAGAGATCTTGAATGTATTCGATGCAGAATTTTATTTTCTTCCTGAAGGTTATGAAACTGTTGCAAAACAGTCAATGGGCTTTCATAAAATAACCAGAATTTGCGACCCATGCTTTTGAGATGGTGAAGTTTCACAATTTTTAAAACTTTCATATTAAGTCTCAGAAGGAGTTCAAGTAACGATTCGATAGAGTAAACCTTATAGAATACAGAACTGCTTTTTTTCCCTTTTCATATCTTGTCATACATATTAACAGAAATTTAACTGATGCTACCGATTTCCATACTTGGGCAGCTAAATCCTCGTAGAACATCAAAAGAAGAGCAGCTCGCGCATTATTCGATGCAGCATTTTCTCCTCTTTCTAATAGGTGTTTTTCGTCTCCGATTCGTTTAGTTTTCGGGGATAAATCATCATAACTCACTTTTTTAGCGAGCCTCAGGCTGTATCCGAAAAACTCGAAATTTGATATTTCGAACCCGTAAACCCTCACCTGCTTTGTAAAATCAATGCTAACTTATAGCACCATCTTGGTAGTCTCAAATTCCGAATAATTATGATGTTTGATGCGATTGTGACCGATGTGGGCCTGCCAAAATCCGATGGTTTTGTTAAAAAATCTTTTAAAAAATTACGGCGAGATATGAGAAAGGTGCAAAAGCAGTGCTATATTCTATAAGGTTTACTCTATCGAATCGTTACTTGAACTCCTTCTGATGATTGATATGAAAGTTTTAAAAAATCGTGAAACTTGACGATCTCAAAAAGCATGGGTCGCAAATTTTGGTTATTTTCTGAAAGCTCATTGACTGTTTTGCATTAGTTTCATAGCATCTAGAAATAGAATGAAATTCTGCATCGAATGCATCCAAAATCTCTTAAAAATCTTTGTTCTTTCGAAAGTGGCGCCCGTATGAAAAAAGCGAAATTACTTTCGGAATGACCTAATATATTCAATGTTAAGTAAATAACCTAAAAATGCTACCATAGGCAACAAGCTAATCTGCATTATCGTAGGAAAAATGAGTAGGTGATTTTGACGCAATGGTCAAGAAATCTTTTACATTCGCAACAAGTCACAGCTCTTATTTGAGAGTCTGAAGGTTGCAGCCTGAGAGAATTGATTATTAGTACACGTAAGAGCTCAGAGATGAATAAGAAAAGCTCGAGCATGGTATTATCAGAATTCTGGTTGATGCTTTCGCTAGCCCAATACATTTTGGCGAAAATTCGTTTTTTGGACACAACATTCACAAAATCATTTTCTCGACTATTTTAAACCTTTACTATCACTTACGACCCGCAAAATATGTAGGCAGGATTTTTTTGTACTGGACCTTCGAAATATGTGTTGGTAAAGCTCATCCAACCGCTAAGAACTTTACTGATTTTTTTCACCGTTTCAAGATTATGGAGAATCTCTGTGTTCCTTTAAACCTCTTAGATTTGAACACATGCGCAATATCAAGCTGTACGTATGCCCACTATCTGTTAGCCAATGACTAGAATAACTACTGTACGCCAAAGGGAAAGGAGAAACTTGTAAGGGAAATAAAGATGGGATCAAGATAGCAAAACTCTGTAGCATGTTATAAACTCTTGCAACTGGTTTATCTAGATGGGAAGAAAAACAAGTTCTTCAAAGTGCCAGAATATACTGAACTGCATTAATTTGTATTCAAACACAACTTCGTGAAAAAAGAGACCTGGAAAAGAATGCAATTTTGATGGCTGTCAACTTGTGATTATCAAAGCACAAAGTGTAAGTTTTGCAGCAACTCTGAAAAAGACGTTCAAGTATCGTCAGATACTTTCAGATATATTTTGGCATTTGCTTTCTTGTGGTCTGATCTGTTTTGGAAGTACTCGAGATTAGTTTGATAATCAGCTAATTTCTTCGGGTTGTGCTAGGAGTTCGCAATTCAACTTGCATCTTTTTTTTTCTGGTGACTTTGCAAGATATTTTTTCAGGCCACTTCCCCGAAATTATAAAAGATAGCAGTTCTACTGATGGTTTTTGCTAGAGGAAAACTCCAGTGTTTCTGATAAGAGTGGCTAAATGTTTCCGTTGGATGAATAATGGCGAGATGAAAGCATGTCGAGGATTAGTGCAGGGATCAAAACGAGGTAGCGAACTCAGATCGAACAAGCCATTAGTCACTCGCAAGGATTTAGCGACCATGTATGATAGAAGGCACACAAAGTAACAAAATCTAAACAACACCAACCTCATGCTGCTTTCCTGAGGATGACCTCGGCTGATGAGTTGAGTGAGGTTGAACGTATGGCAGAATGAATGAGCCGCTAGAGCACCAGACGATCCAGTGCGGTTGAAGCCGGCAAGAAAAAGCGACGAAAAACAGCCACGGATGTAGCCTTTGGCACCAGTGCCTGAAAAGCACACATTTCGGTAAATCTGGATGTTTCAGTTTGAAGTCAGTTGGAACTTATTTCCATTCATATCGGTAGATTTTTCCGACGCAAAACCTAAAAATGTCAAACTCTTGATCTGGAAGACGGTCAAGAGGCGAGATTTCTCCAGCAGAGGTCGCCAACTTAACAGCCCAGTTTTCAGCTATGCGCATCATTCGAGCATACCAAACAAAGTGCTCTAGCTTAGCCTTTAATTCAACTGGATTGGCGGCTGGAAGGCGGGGCTTGTGCCACCCAACTAAGGACGCTCGCGCACGCGAAGCCATTTGCGTCTCTCTCGCGCGCTTGTTCTTTGCTCATTATCTAGCCTTAATTGGGTCACGAAGCCCCGCCTTCCAGACGCCAAGCCAAGTGAGTCGGAGGGTACTAACTGTCTGAAGCTACCACTTGCTAACTTTGACTTTGGTATAAAGTTGATTAAAATATTCACGAAAACGACATGAGCTGCGGTTTCACTGGTTTTTGACCTGCAGCACGCCTGTCTTTCATCTATTGCAAAATTATAAGATCGAGCTACCCGTTAAGATCATACATGTCTTGTTGGAAATTTGAATTGTTCTTAGAACATCACAAAATACCAAAAATGCGCTAATTGGTCCATCTGGCAATAAAAATCGTGCTGACATACACCCCATGATTCTAAAGCGTCTGTGCAAGCTGTATAGTTAGGATGTTACATGAGTTTTCTATTACCTTGAGTTTCTATGCGTTAAGTCATATTTTTCTTTCATTCAGGAATCTAAAGATATCAATCAAGAGAGCAACGCAGTCTCTACAAGATATTGTTCAGTGAATTGCATGAACTTCGATTCACGCGAAGTTTGAAGCCGAAAACTAACAGTATATGAATGCTTGAAAATCGGGGAAAGTCGAGACTGCGCCTAAAGAATCTTACATCCACGCTAAGCCATATTATTTCTTCAGTTAAAGATGGAAAATGCAAATTTTCATGTTCTAGCTGGAGCGATGATATGCTGTTCAGCAGCAACATTCTAGTAGAACCATGAAAATTTTCGTTTTTGTTATTTCCGCCAAGAAAAAATACAGCATGGTTGTGTGTCTTGATGTGGATTACATATGCGTGGGCAAGTAAAAAATTCGCAAAATTTTTTTGGGCGGAGTTCCTTTTTTCCATTTTTGAGCACTCTGGTATTTTTGATTTTTGTCTAAGCAAATGTTCAAACACCTTCTTAAAAAGCTTGCTTTGCACTTTCGTATGGTGTTCTAGAACCTAATTAAAATCCAGGAATGTATTGTTTATTTGTAGGAAGTCAAAGTAATCTAATATTTCTGATTGATGTATGAAAGCGCCTTGGGTTCTGTTTTTCATTTTCACAACAGATGTGGGGAATACTAACCATAAAATGGAGTTCATAAGCATGCCGCATTTTGAAAAGACCACAATGCTTCACTTGACACTTTTACTTTACTGTCGTCATGATCTTTCAATATGAATGTTGCCATAGCAAGAATACTAAGAAATTATAAATAATCAAGCATGAATAGAATTTCAGAGCGCAGTTTAGCACTGACAACCAGTACTTAATCTTCGTGCATGATCCTGGAACATCGTTAATTACTTTTTTAGAGATCAAAAGTGATCTCAAACGATATTTTTGCTCAGTAGGCCCTAATGAATCTACACGCATCAGTCAGAGGGATTTTCAGCTAGAGACAACGAGCTAATAACATCATTCCTGAGCATGGGTCAAGTGGCAACAGAGAGACAACATGGACATCATTTCGATCAGATCGGTCAAGCCAAAATAGTAAGAAGTTTGAATGTTATATCCTCCTGTAAACTTAGCTCAATTTCATTTGACTGAAATACGAAAATATTTTACAGCAAGTATGCTCCACTTACGCAGCAATTCATTATGAAATTTTCTGTCACTTGTTCAAAGAAAGGCAAAATTACCTCCTCTCAACGATTTGTATGACCTATTATATTTAGTAAAGAAGGATGCAGGACGGGTATGGAACAATGAAATTTTTTTCTGCCGCATTGAGTCTCCATTTCAAATAAATATGAATGTATTGAAATTATTCTCAGATTTATCCATATTTACAGGTTATGATACTATTTTCAAATTTATCCATAATTTTAGGTCATGGTATACTTTATGTTAACACCATAAGCGTTATGAAATTTGATCTTCTTCAATTGCGAGCCAAAACCATAATCAATCAGCCAACAAGAAATTCATGATACTACAAAAAGAAAGCCAACAGGAACATTGTGGAGTTCGAAGTGCAAAGTCGCACAAGCATATTTGCGCAAGAGCCTTCTGACACTTCCATTCTAAAATTGAACTTCCAAAATAGAGAGTGGGGTGAACACTTCCGCAAATTCTTGATCAGGGCGTCCAAAAACACCTCGGAATAAATGTTTTCGGCATTTTTTATTACTATTTAGGGGAAATGATGGTTATGCCTCAAACATAAGGTTAGCCTAGAATTTCCTCGCTATTTTTGAATCATTATTTGCACTCCGAGAGGATGGATCGCTTACTATCTTCTAGGCTAAAAAAGGAGAGCACTAAATGATAAAAAGGTAATGACAATCACTATGATATGACGAAATTCGAGACTACGGCTTTATGTGGACCTCACAGAAAATTTTTATGGGGTCCACATAAAGCCATAGTCTGGAATTTCGTCTCCGGGAAAATTCCAAACTTCCAGACATTATCTTCTTTTTTAGACACGGTAGCTGACTGGAATTTAGAGTTTTTTACTTCACCAAAACCTACCTTAGCTCCATGATCATAGCCTTTCACGTACTCCCCCCCCCCCCCCCCGCTTTACCCTCTCATCACTACCACATGGATGCTATGCAGTTCACCGCCACAGTAGAATTCAAGAGCTGCGCTCGACGAAGAGGACAGGAAATCGAATTGTTCTGGATCGGGCCAATTGGCGGTTCGCCCCGTCACTCGGTGTCTCAGGCATCGCTCGTCAAAACCGAGACGAAAACTTCGGAACAGGTGACAGTTGCGCTTACGAGTAATAAATCACAAAATCTTAGAGTGTTTGTTATTAGACGCTTACGGTATCAAATCAAAGGGGGGGGGAGGGAGGAGAGAAAGGGAAATTTACCAAACACTTTTGAACTCCTGCAACAGTCTGCGCTGGTATCAGACACTGTACGCCAATCTAGAAGGTAATCTGAGATTTAAACAAAAGCAGTAATTGGTAAAAAAATGTCAAAAAAAGCTGTAGATATTTTTCAGTACCGGACCAGCATGGGCAAAATGTTGCAACAGACACGGAGAACCACCGCATTAAAAGAGTTTGGTTACCTAGAGTTGGAAAAAGAATGGGAAAAGAGCGAGTTCGTGATTTTGTAGCGCAAATACAAGCTAGTGTAAAATTCTTTGGTTTTGCTTTTGTGGAAAGATTCTAAAAAAAGAGTTTTTGATATTTGAGGAAACAGAAATAATTCATGAAAAGAGTAAACAGCCCGTACAGCACTCACCAAAATCGCACCATTAATCTACTTTTTGTTGAAAATCTGGAGAAGCAATTTGTATTACGATTAACCCCCTGTGCAAGCAGCTGCCGGGCTTCTTATCAAAAGTTAAGCCTTCACAGCAAGAATAACAAGGAGGATGAGTGACAATGCTTGACGATACATGGTAGAAAAAAATCGAAAGTGACAGATTGTTCACCTATTCGAAGATCCTCAATCATACTGATGCAGTTTGATGTATCCTCACAATATGCAAACGGTACATCAGCATTGCGTGTCAGTGGATTTCTGGAAGGATGCCAAACTTTATTGAAGGAGTAGAGGATAGAGGGTAGTAAATTTACTTGCACGCGTCCGTAAAGGCTCTCGGCTCAACATAAATTCTGGAATAGCCGGCGAATTGCCATGTTACGCCGTAATACCGTGACATACAGCTATAGCATCGATGACCGCTCAATTCTGCAAAAACACAGATTATTCAAAAAAAACGAGAAAAATGTACTTTTCTCACTTTCACCTTGAGCGATGTATCCGTAGACGATGCTCTTGAGTAGAAGGAGTAGAACCACCAATCGTGGTAGCATTTTGCATTTTCACTTCAATGATAGTGAAGGAAATTCATTCCTAAATGCATCATGGAGAAAGAGCCGAACACAAAGTGTTAAGCGATGGGCGGGAGCCGCCGAGACGACGAGATGGCAAATCGCGAGCACATGTCAACTACGATCAGAGCTTTGCAAATTTTGCGGAGACTTTGTTTTTGACAGAAGTTTTCTGTGCAACACGCGTAGATTTTGATAAAGAAATAATCTTTGACGGTTCAGTGTTTTGTGTCTTTTGTAACAAAAAATTTCAGACAAAACATGTTTCAAAAATTACTCCAAGTTCGTTTAAGAACAAAGATTCCTGCTTCAAAAATTTTCGACCATTATAGGTACTTTGCAATGGCAGCCCAAATATTCTTTTCGGGGAGCGTAGGCCTGACAAAAATTTCTCTAGGTGAAGGGGAGGGACGTTAGCCGAGCCTTTTAACCCATTGACGACGACGCCCAATTTTGCATGGCAGCGCTGTGGGACGATGCGATTTTGCGGAACATTTTCGGCGCGTGAAAATTTTGTGATTATTTACGTAATGTAGAAATTTTTATAAACAACTACAGCCATCTTGTTGGTAGTCTACAAGTTCCAAAAGTACAAAAAATTTGGAGACAGTGCTGAACTGTGGAAAAAATACTAGACCTGAAAATATTTTTATATGATTTTGCAAGGGGTGTGGGCCACCGGTGGTCCACATCCTTGGCAATGGGTTAAAAATGTTTTGGATGACTTCATAATTTTTCGCAGAATTCGAAGCCCCAAAGACTGCTACAAATCTAATTCTACATTTACGCTCCTAAACAGGAAGGTGAGTAACGACAATTTTTTTAATAAAGCGGCTTGGAATCACGTCCTGCAAAAATTGTGGGGTGCTATGGTCATTTGTAAGGTTTGTTTGGAGTGGAGATGAAAACCAATTCGGTTGGAGTTTACGGATCCACATTTTTCAATCTGTAAATTGTTATTTTTCAAGATAACGAACTCTCATGTTAGTTTGTAGAAATTTTAGAATAAAGACTATGCTTATAGGGTATAAAACATAAACCAAAGGTCTTAGTAGTCAGCGTCATCACTTCCACTCATCTCCCTCACCTCCAGCCCTGAAAAAGTATAGGCTTGTATCAGTGGCGTACCCAGGATTTCGGCTCGGGGGGGGGGGGGGCGGCAAAAATTTTTTTCAAATGAAGGTGCGTGGCGTCAGCCACGCACTTCGAAAAAATTTTAGGGGGCTTCTCAAATTTTTTGCGGGCCCCCAACCCCTAAAATCTGGAAAAAGGGGGTGTGGCTGACGCCACGCCCCCGAAAAAATTTTTTTCTAAGGCTAATTTGAATTTTTAAAAAATTTAAAAAATTATTTTAATTGTTTACAAAAATAAACAAGTCACTTGCACATTTTTATAACTCATGTAAGTAACTTTCAAAAATTTCGCGACCCATTCTCGGGGGGGGGGGCGCCCCCCCACCCCGCCCCCCCCCCTCCCCTCGGTACGCCACTGGCTTGTATGTACAATCCAATTGCTCTTGCGCTTTGAACACCAAGGCGCGATGCGGATGGAGAAGTGGGGTCTCGACGCGATACAGCTTATTCGCAGGGGATAACGAGGGCGCACCTTATTCAGACGTCTTTTTACGAGCTTTCAAAGACATTTTTGGCTAAATTGTAGTATGCAACGCTGACATGGATATTGCCCGGAAAATTCATGAGCAAATGACACCGCCTCTAGTGCCTAGCGACGACCGCTCGCCTATGCTGGTGTTCAAGGCACGTGAGCAATTAGGCTGGAAGGCTTATAAACATATTAGAATTTCACCTAATGACGAAACCATGGATTCTGCGCTTGTTCATTCATATATCCAAAGTATTTCCAAAGTCTGTACTCTTAATCTGTTGCAAATCTCTTTCTGAACTATCATCAAAGAGGGTCCTTGCGACATCCGTTGATTAGTCGTGATCATTTTCTTTTCTCATTTGAAGAGAAGCTGTTGGTAGCGGTCATCTTTGGTTATAACGAAATGTAGGAAATTTATCTTATTATCTCTTTCATTCACAATGCTAATTAACTTCAATTCTTGGAGATAGTAATCGTCAGAAAGCATTATATGGCACTCTACGGCCCAAGGCATACCTCACGCGATTATAGTTGCTGCGCGATTCGGTACCGGAGCGACTGTTCGTAATTGGTCTCAAAGCACTTTGCCTGGGCTTTGGAACTCAATCTGTTCGCAACAAATTACAGAATCTAAGCGCCTATGTATTAGAGAACTTCCTCGATTTTGGAGACATCTGGCAAACTGCCAGGTCGCATGGTCGCGGGATTTGGGCGAATCGCGCGAGGTATACCTTAGGCCACGACTTTGATTGTGTACGCTAAATATATAGATGGGTGAAATTCACAGCAATATATGCAAGCATTACCTGACAATGAAGAGATAAAATTTTGGGTAAAGAGCAACTAGAAAGATGAACAAAATTCTTCATCTTGCTAGAAGGGAATTTAGCCTCAGATTCTAAAAAGAGCGTGCTTAACGTCAACTTGAGCAGATCTGCGAAGAACCTCCATTCTATACCTTCACATTTTTGCGTACTAGGTAATAAATCATAGCTCATTTTCACACACAAAAACGTTTGCGACTATCTTATAATTTATGAACATTGAGTTACTGGTTTATAAGCTTTAGCTTATTTAGAACTAGCTGGCTTACCCGGCTCCGCCGTATCCGGACCAAACTTGGCACACATACACTTCGGGCCCCGGCGGGTGTCATAGTCCACTTTTCGTTATCGATCGATGTCGATTTTACCGATTTTTATCGATTTTTTTGCAGAATTCACCTACAGGGCTAGGAGTTGGCACAGGGGGAAGTGAGCATGGGGATTCCGAATACAATATTAGTTTTCAGAATTATCGATTACTTTTATTGATTTTATCGATTTTTTGGCAGAGTTCACCTACAGGGCTAGGAGTTGGCACAGGGGGGAAGTGAGCATGGGGATTCCGAATACAATATTAGTTTTCAGGATCGTCCATTACTTTTATCGATTTTATCGATTTTTTTGCAAAGTTTGACCTGCGGGGCTGGGAGTTTGCACAGAGGGTAATCGAGCATGCAGATTACGAATACAATATTAGTTTTCAAGATCGTCCATTACTTTTATCGATTTTATCGATTTTTTGAAAATTTGAGCTAGGGGGCTGGAATTTGGCACAGGGGTGTTCGAGCATGCTGATCACCCCCCTTGGGGATGATCAGCATGCTCGATTACCCCCCTGTGCCAACTCCCAGCCCCCTAGCTCAAACTTTGCAAAAAAAATCGATAAAATCGATAAAAGTAATCGATAATCCTGAAAACCAATATTGTATTCGGAATCCCCATGCTCGATTACCCCCCTGTGCCAACTCCCAGCCCCGTAGCTCAAACTTTGCAAAAAAATCGATAAAATCGATAAAAGTAATCGATAATCCTGAAAACCAATATTGTATTCGGAATCCCCATGCTCGATTACCCCCCTGTGCCAACTCCCAGCCCCGTAGGTGAACTCAGCAAAAAAATCGATAAAAATCGATAAAATCGATATCGATCGATGACGAAAAGTAGCCTATGACACCCGCCGGGGCCCTTAGTGTATGTGTGCCAAGTTTGGTCCGGATCGGTTCAGAAATGGAATTTTCTATTCGGAACATACGTACACACAGACATACATACAGACAGACAGACAGACAGACAGACATACAGACAAACAGACATTCAGCTTTATATATAAGATGTGGCTTACCGAAGCAGGATGTACAAAAAATTAGACAGAACCCGAGAAGGGGAAAGAAGAGGCGCAAAAGAGTATTTGTCTCTCAAAAGCCGAAAAGACAGACGTTAATGTGATGCCCAAGCCGGCAGTGAAAGCAAACTTGAAAGAAGCTGAGCTGCTTAGAGAAGCGTGAAGTACTCAGGCTCAGTGGATGGCAGGTATTCGGGCGAAGCAGTAAGTCAGAAAGCAGAGTAAGCAGGAGGCAGGAATGCTCCTTCAAATGGTCAGTAGTCCTTAATAAGGAAACTCGTTTCTTTCCGAAAAATTTGGTATGACTCGAATAGCAGTGGTGACTTCACCGTGGAGGCAAAAAACCCCTAAATTTGTCAGACCAATATATTTGCAAGATTTTGTATTATTCCAAGAAGATCCAAGCTTTGTAAAAGTGTTTTCAAGACCGAGAAAATTTCAGGAGGCTCTAATGAAATTTGAAATGATCTATATAGGCAACAAGTGAATGAGCAAAGAGCGAAGTCCCTGTTTCCTGTCAGGCGTGAAATTTTTTAAGAGCAGAAAGCGAGGTCGAGCCTTTGGGAGACTACACAGATTTCCCTGCTGGTTAATCATTACTTTCTCTCTTTTTTGACGGGAGTGTTGAAATAATAATAATAATAATAATAACGAAACGGAGTCTTCAAAAAAGTTTTTTCTCTCTTATTATAATAAGAAGAAAAGGTTTCCAAATCACAATGTATAATTAACCAAAAGGCTTCGTTTCGTTCTTGCCCTTAGAAGGAGTAAAAGTATTTACAGACCTTCCCCGGAACTCCTCAATAAGGAAGGAAGGTCTGTAAAACTTATTTTCAATAGTGAGAAGTAAGTTTGTTTGGGAATAAAAAGTATTTACATGAATTTTTTGAGAAGAATGGCTTGACAATTACGATGATCAAGTTCATTGCTCATCAACTGCTGATCCGACAAGTTTAGCTGTAGATAAAATTGCTCAAATAAAAACAAAACATTAAGTGGACATGCAAAAGCGGAACTTTGGTAAGTAAATGTCCTCCCCAACTTTGGAAGGTTGTGGAAATATCCATAATAGAGTAGGCAAAAAGCTCTTAGAGTCAATCACCAGTACTCTAATGGTTACGGGAAACATTCATCACACGACATTGCCGAAACGCTCGCCGTCTTTCCTATTTTTCCTTTTCTCCTTCTACTTCGGATTCCTCGCTTTTTAA